CTTAGAGGGCTTCAATGCTTAAGAAAATAGGGCTTGGCAATCTTTTTGGGGAAGTGTCTTAATGACTTCATTTTACAGAATGAACACATTTACCGTAAAAGGCAACTCACCCGGGTAAGATTCCTTATATGCACATGTAATGGTAGGAATAGCACCTGGGTGATTTACCTTCTAGCATATATGTATACGTTCATTCCATAAAATGTCATTCAGATACTTCTCCCAAAACAATGCCAAGCCCCATTTTTTAAATTATGAAGGTCCCCGAAGAAAACCCTCTTCCCGGGGAGAACTTCCCCTTCAGTAGCATTTAAGTATAGAATGAAATACATCTGTCGCTAATATATATATATATATATATATATATATATATATATATATATATATATATATATATATATATATATATATATATATATATATATATATATACTCTGGTCATCTGCCCCGGGTGAGATAACTAGAGTATATATAAGACAGCTATAATATTTCTGCATATACAGCATGTCACTGAAGGACAAGATTTCTCAGGGAAGAAAATGGGACTTGGCAATGTTTTGGGTGAAGTGTCTTAATACTTTCAATTTACGGAATGAACATATTTTGAGTACAAAGGAAATCATCATAATCATTCGTTATTAACTGGGTTAATTCACAGGTGCTATTTCTCCCGTAGCGAACCCTTTTGAAAATTTTGTTTCATGTGTTACTACCATATATGGATAAAAACATTGATATGGTGGAAAATTTAACTCACAATAATTTCGTGACTCTCGCGATTGCTATTATGCATAAAGTAAAGAAATGTCGAACAGAAATCGTGAAATTTACGATCATGGACGGTTATTTAAGATATAGTTGGACCTGCTAATCTTTGGCCATAAAGTATAAGACGTTACTTCTGGACATTGATTTTTTTAGAATATTGATTTTTGCCTTCGTTTATTTTAACGGGTTAAATGCTGTTATATTTCTTAATTGAGTTCATTTGATATTTTATGCACGTGACCGCGCTGCCCACAGGCATTTTGAAACGTTATTTATAGCGTTACATATATAGTCACGTGATCAATATAAGCGGACATGTTATTTTGAGCTCTCGATAGTTTTAACAGAAAAACGTATTTATTGCTCCGATAAGAACTTTTTTATGTTGACAAAAGTTTAAATAAGGAATATGTGTTGTGCTATGTTTAAAGACTATGATACGAAAGAGGAATAAAGGGAGTAGTGGAAGCGAATCTGATGAGATATTGAACCCCAAAAAAGCAACAAAGAAAAGAGACCCGTCAGAGGGTACAGCTGACACTTTGAATGTAAGTGAATTATTAAATGAGACACATGCTATTCTGTTTGACTCTCAGCATTGTGAAGTGGAGAGAAATAATATAAAGTGCAAAACCAATGTAAACAACAAACAGTTGAAAAGTATGGCTTCTTTTAGCGATATAGTAAGAAAAAGCCCAACTTCTACAATGTCTTTAAAACAAGGGGATAATAAGGAATTATTTAAAATAATAGACGATTGTAAAGATTAGCTAAGAGGAGAGCAAAGACAAAAAATCACTTAGCTCTAAAGAATAAAATGCATAATTTATCAAAACATTCTCCGAAATTGTTTTGGAAGGAAATAAAAAGTTTAGAAAGAAAAGTCCCGATTGTAAAGTGTCGAATTTTAACCATTTTAAGAATTTATTTAATAGTCAAAATGCATTTTCAAATGATGATGTTGAACAGTGCATTAATAGTGATGATGTTATATTACAACAAGTTGATATGTTAGATAAAGAAATTACAATATAGGAGGTATCTAAGGCTATTTCTTCGCTAAGTAGGAATAAAAGTGGTGGTTATGACTTACTTTTACCAGAAATATTTATTGAATGTAATGAATTATTATCTCCAATTTTAAGTAAAACTTTTAATCATACTTTCACAAGTGGATCTTATTCAACCTCATGGAATAAAGCAATTATTGTACCTGTCCAGAAAAAAAGGGGATCCCAGTGAAGTAAATTATAATAGGGGTATTGCGCTTAAAAGTATTTTTTCAAACTATTCTCAGTAATCCTATATAATAGACTTTGCAAATGTTCAGAGGTCAATAATTTCTTAACAGATAATCAGCATGGATTTAGGAATAGTAGAAGAACTGTTGACTGCATATTTGTACTAAATTCTATTATTGATAAGATAATGCTCTGTTATAAAATAAACTGTAAACTGCATTTGTAGATTTCCGCAAGGCATTTGATTAAACATATAGAAATGGTATTTTGTTCAAATTAATTGACACTGGTGTCTCAGGTAAAATGTTAAAAATTCTAAGAAGCATGTATGGGGGTGTGAATTTATGTGTACGTAATAATGGCTCACTAACTGACTTTTTTGATAATCACATGAGCTTGAAGCAAGCAGAGCCATTATCTCCCATTTTGTTTATTATGTTTAATAATGATATGCAAGATCACTTAGCTGACGATAGTATAGATGTTTTTACCATTGAGGAATTGCAAATTTAGTTGTTGTTGTTTGCAGAACAAATTCGAAAAATTCGGGGGAGCATATAGTCGCCGTCTTGTCCGTCCGTTCGTCCGTCCGTCCGCTTTTTTTGTCCGGGACATAACTTTGAAACAACAAGAGGTATCAACATGAAACTTTGTATGTAGAAAGATCCCATTGAGAAGGTGTGCAGTGCACAAGAACCGTAACTTTGCCTTGCCTAATTTTTGAATTATTTCCCTTTGTTTATTTTTACACTTTGAACTTTGTACGGGACATAACTCTAAAACTATAAGAGGTATCAACATGAAACTTTCTGGGTAGATAGATTTTATTGAGTAGGTGTGCAGTGCACAAGAACCGTAACTCTGCCTTGCCTTTTTTTAATTATTCCCCTTTGTTTATTTTCACACTTTGAACTTTGTCCGGGACATAACTCTAAAACTATAAGAGGCATCAACATGAAACTTTGTAGGTAGATAGATCTCATTAAGTAGGTTTGCAGAACACAAAACTGTAGCACTGTCTTGCCTACTTTTGGAGTTATTGTCCTTTGTTCATTTTGACACTTTGAACTTTGTCCGGGACATTACTCTAAAATTATAAGAGATATCAACATGAAACTTTGTAGATAGATAGGTCTCATTGGGTAGAAGTGCAGTGCTAAAGAATCATTACTCTGCCTTGCCTTATTTTGAAGGTATTGCCCTTTGTTTATTTTTACTTTTTGACTTTTGTCCGGGACATAACTCTAAAACTATTAGATATATCAACATGAAACTGTGTAGGTAGCTAGATATCATTGGATAGAACTGCAATGCTTAAAGAACCTAAACAAAGCCTTGTCTAATTTTGGAGTTATTGGCCTTAGTTCATTTTTACACTTTGAATTTTACCCGGGACATAACTCTGAAACTGTAAGAGATTTCATCAGGAAACTTTATAGATAGATAGATCTCATTGAATAGAAGTGCAGTGCAAAAAAAACATAACTCCGCCTTGCCTAATTTTGGAGTTTTTGCCCTTTGTTCATTTTTTTTATACTTTCCTGTGTCCAAAACCTTCTCGGGGAGCATCACCCGGTTCAACCGGTTCTTGTTTAGAAAAGGTGATAGACCTTCAAATATATCAGTTAAGTATGACAATAAAATTTTAAAACAAGTTAAAACATTTACTTATTTAGGAATAACGCTATATTTTAATCAAGCTTAAAAATCATTGTCTGCACAAGCTTTAAAGGCTCTTTATTCTTTGAACTCCCTTTTTGATAATGTTGATTTAGATATTGAAGATAAATTAAAACTCTTTAATTCAATGGTATTACCAATTTTATGTTACGGATCTGAAATATGGGGTTTTCACAAAGCTCCGGACATAGAACGTGTATACTTAAAGTTTCTAAAACAAATACTTGGTGTTAAACAACAAACATGCAGTACTGCAGTTTATGGAGAATTTGTTGCATTTCCTTTGTATATAGTACGTAAAATTAAAATAATTAAGTTTTGGTATATAATTAAAAATATGCCTGACTCAACTATGTTTAAATTAATGATGTTGCAGGGACGAAATAATACATTGTTAAAAAGTTGGTCATGTAATGTAAAAAATGTTATTAGATGACCTTGGTTTTTCTTACCTGTAGAATTGTGATAGAATATCTGAAATGAATGTTAAATTAATTATTCAAAGAATCCATGATCAATATTTACAACAATGGTTACCTGAATTAGACTCATCTTCTGAATTAGATTATTATAGAGAATTTAAGTTAAACTTAATTTAAGCTAGTTATTTAAATACTGTTAATGTTGAGGCACATATGAAAGCACTAGCGAGATTTAGATGTTCGTCACACAACTTAGAGATTGAAGAAGGTCGATATAGGAATATTATTAGAAGCGAAAAATTATGTAGAAGATGTAATATGAATCAAGTTGAATCAGAGTATCATGTTTTTGTTAATATGTCCTTTTTATTGCGGTTTACGTTTAACTCTTTTAGATAATTATTATTACACATGGCCTAATATGAATAAATTCAATAAGCTTATGTCAGCACCCAAAATATTTGTTATGAATAAATTCAATAAGCTTATGTCAGCACCCAAAATATCTGTTAAAGTAAAATTGCAAAATTTGTCTGAAAAGAAATGAGTGTTTTTGTATAATAAAAATATGTATTTCTTTCAACTATTTTTCATATTTATGCTGTATATGATTAGATATGTTAAATATGCCATGACTTGTATTGTATGTGTTTATGTGTACTTAAAACTGCCCATCCTTTGTTAAAACATGAAAATGAAACATGAATTATATTTTTTCATACTTTTCTTCAATATTATATTACTTTTGTTAATCTAACCGCCAATTATGTGTGGCGAAAACATGTTCATTGTATATATGTTTATGTTAATAAATACTTTGACTTTGACTTGACTTCTCTCATTGTAGTCAATGATATTGATAAGTTGTTAAAATCACGGTAGGGAATCACGTGACTTTTACGGTTACGCGTACAGACAATATGGCGGCCTAAAAACCTCGCTTCACACGTGTTTTTCAGGTAATTCTTTATTATATCCCTTTTACTTACATACGAGACCTGTTGCAGCCTACGCGGAATAAAGAATTGTTGCCGCCTATACCTTATTTTCAACCCCTGTGCTCATAGCTTTTACAAACACTCAAAAATTCAACAGGAATTTTCAATGTTGACAATTATTTTTCAGGTAACTTTCACGCAATCTTTGTATTTTTTATTAATTTGATTAAACTACGCCTAGTTAGCAAAGAGAAAATGTTCATAGAATTTCTTTATTTGAAAATGTAAATATTAGGCATGTTAAATGTTGACTAGTCATTTTCAATTCCAATACACGAGGGAAAAATGATTTGGGTAACGGCCACGCAAACTTTTATTGTTGATAACTCCCACGCAATATTTTATGTGCAAGCAATATCTATGCAGGCTATAGCCTAGATATTTATTTAACAAAATCATGATCGATGTATTTAGCCTTAAACGTTCATAGAATTTTGAATAATATTTAAAATACCGCCAAAAGGTCCTTGATAGAATTAAGCGCCTATGGGTAGCAGAATACATACTCACGTAATTATATTAAATGAAGTTTCGATATAGAGATATAGATGAATTAATCGCAGAAATTAAAATAAAAGTCTCAAATATAAGAAGGAGGTCGATTTCAGTTTAAGCACAATTACATGTACAGTTGTCATTTTTCATAGTTTGCAGATATGGACGGTTGCAGCTCGGATATTGTTTGTGGATAATGTTGGAAAACATTTCGTTCATGGACAGGTCTTAATGACCACTTAAACTGGCTACTCGGCACAGGACCTTGTAAACGTTGTGGCAAATCGAACTGTCACAGGTATGGCATTTTAAGTACTGTTGATATTAAGATTTTAAAGACATTCAAATCATTTTATCACTTAGTTTCTTATGTAACCAATTATTTTTAAAATTAGCGTCTGTATTTAACATAATTATGTTTTTTTATTCTAAAGCAAAAAACAACAACAAGAGGGCCATGATGGCCCTGAGTCGCTCATCAGAAACAACTGTTTTTCAGTGTTGGATTGTCAATATATTCTATTATTTAATTTTACCCATGATATATGGTGATATATCAGTCAAATATATTTCATATTTTTTAAAAAAAAAATAAGAAATATAAATATGAAATTGGGCGGAGTCAAAACTCATATTTATTTTAAGGGACTTCTTTCACCATTTTGTTTGAAAAATCGGATAAATACAAACAACTTTTTGTTGAATTTTGTTTTGAAAACTATGTAGAATGATAGAAAATGGTCTATGAAAATAAATCCGAACACCAATATCTTTAATGCAGTCTTTAACGCTGTACAGACATTTAAAAAGAGTTGTTTACGTGACGTCACAATGTAGCGCTAAATATCGCGTGCAAAACAACACAATAATTATATTACTGCGCGCTGTACAATTGAAGTTGCGTAGCAAGCAAGTGGGTTCGTAACCATTTTTGTTTGATAATGGAATTAAATAAAAAGGTAATTTCTTCGTTTTTCGTGAAATATGGTATATATTTTCACTCAACATGATAAAATGCCACATATTTTCCTCGCCGTCCCGGCTCGCGAAAATATGTGGAATTTTAGGTCAGGGTAACGTATTGTTACATGGCCAGCGATTGGCTAAAAAAAGTGCAGGGAAAACCGTAAGATTCAATGGGACATTAGGTGATTGGACGAGAAGGTATTGTGTATAAGTATAAAAACTATTCTCGAAACTAACAGTACATTGTTTTCTGAAAAAAATGAAGTATTTTGTAAGTCTGTAGGATAATTTTTAACTCTGATATTTACATTTTAAAAAAGTATATGTCAGTCCTGTAATCAGCAGTGAATTACAGTGTAAAGGGGGGGTAATCCTGTTTGAAGTCATTTTACGAAAAATTTGGTTGGCTACCCCTATATAACGAGATGAGTTTTATGTGTCAGGCATGTCATTCTCCCAGAAAAATCACATCTCTATGATGAAAACTCAATTTTAAGGTCTGTTTTGAGGTCATTTCTTATAATGTAAGCCTATGGAAAATTAATACGAGTATCTGACCTAAAGGCTGAAAATGGTAGGAAACATCTCGTGCCAATGATGTAAGTTAACATGTCTTGTTTTGATAATAATTGACTAATGAGCTATGAATATGTATTTGTTATATACAAAATGTACAAAATGGCTGATTTGAACCAATTTTGGTCAAATTTGCAGAAAAATATGGACAAACACTCAATTATTATGAATGCTGATGGGGAAATTGACTGTAAAATCTGGATAGGGAGTAAAGATAAGTATGGATATGGGAGAAAAAAAATTAAATGGCCAAATGGTCTTCAGACCATTGAAAGTACTCATAGACTGGCATATATGTTGGACCAGCGTTTGCTAAGGGAGGATGTGCCACGGCTAGCACCAGATGGGTCGTCGCTAGATGTTAGCCATACATGCAATAATAAATGTTGCGTAAACCCTAGGCACTTAGTACTAGAGAAGCATGAGACAAACATGTCTAGGATTCACTGCTTCGGTCATAGTATCTATGTCTGCAGGCACGAACCCCCATGTCTTTTACCGGCCCGGCTACAGAAAGGGCGTGTATAACTTCCATGGTCACTGGTAGATGGCATCGACTCTTCATATTTATTCAGGTTTTGTTTACGTCGTCTTTGACTTAAATAATTAATACGGTCTTTCAGTAACTGTCCTTTTACATATTTGTTTTTCTCTCTGGTACTTTCATGTAATTTATACATAAGACTTTTTCTTTTTGAACGTTTAAGCTTGAATTCAATACTTTTTTCTGTTTCTTTTTTATTTTCAGCGCGTTTCTGTTCTTGAAGTAATTGACGGGCAACCCGACTACCTTTTGGGATTGGGCACTCCGCTGCTGTGCATAGTTTCATAAGTGATACCCCTGGCCCATTGTTTACAGCGTGTATAGCACTGAAAAATCGTCCAGAACAGTTGTGCGGAAAAGTGGTGTTATTAGGTAAGCATTTTTTAATAGCGCGGTTCGTCCCTTCTACTTTTTGGGTATTTGAATTAAGACGAGTTTTGTTTAACATATCTTCACCTAGTCTAAATTCAATCCAATCAAGCATTGTGTCATGATTATCAGGGATATTGAGACTGATTTTGAAATTTTTTGTCAAGAAAGCACTGTTTACTAACCAGTTATTGTTTTTTGCGCCTTTACAAACCCTCGAATGAAGATTGCAACCGTAATGGTCCCCAGCATAACAGCGTTTAATCGCAGTAACAAGGTATTTTAATTTCTCTGTTATTTTTGAAAAATCTCCGTTTTCCTTTGTAAATACTGATTCAAATTCAGCTGTACACCGGCGACTTAGGTCAAGGGCAAACCTATTTCTTAAGTACTTTCGGTATTCAACATTATGACCGGGCATCATATTCAAAAGACGCGAGCAGGAGTTCATTTGTTTCCGATGATTTTCTGCCAGATGCCTCGTGTCCAGCTGATGAACAGGTTCTGTGCTTGTGATTTTGTTGTCGTAAAGGTCTGTAGCAGCACGAAAAGCCCCTGAATCTGCATCAGTGGTTAGATATTTGACCTCGAGCCCATCATGATGTAGATCCAGGAAGCAGCTTTTTGCCCATCTGTATTCGTCTCCTATAGTTGTTTCAATGCTAGCTGTTGCCGAGCAAGGTCCAGACTTGTTGTCGCATTCTGTTTCTTCTTGAGTGTGGAAGCCATGCTTGGAACAAAGTTTGTTCACTTGCTCAGCAGCAACTATCTGTTTTTTAGAGGTTATTGTCTCCGCAACTGTGTATGATGCCTGCGTTGCAGGCTGAAACGGTGTTTTCCCCACACCGCTGTACAAGTTGTTGTTGTACATGCCATCTGCCTGTACATTTATAACATTCTGTGGCAATCCCCTGTATTTATTAATTTCTTTTAGTTCTTCCCTGATTCTTTTCATGTCCCTTTTATTTTCTTTGCAAATGACCTCATTGACAAGGTTTGCAGTCCTCTGGAGGCAGGCAACTGAGGGAGCTGGTATATTCCCTCCATGACATATTTTTCTGACACCAGAGGAAGCTATTGGTGTCTGAGTGAGAGCTATTGAAATGCCACGGGTGACAGAAGCTGGTTTAACTCCCCGCTTACAGGTGTCTATTTCGGCGTAAAGCTTATATCTTTTCGAAACATAGCTACAGATCTGGCACTTTGCACTTTCACGCCATCCGAAGCCCCACTGCATGGACGATGATGAATCGAAGCAAAGATTTCCTTGACAGTCTGGTTTCTTTTGCCTATGTTCACGACTTACTTCATTGACCATTTCCCACAGTTTGCTGGTATGAAACAGCTTGTAGCAGTCATTTTTGTCACTGAAAATGATATATACTTATCAAACATATTGTAATGTATCAATTTTGCAAAATCAAAGGAACCAAAAAAATACAGTAACATATTTACTTGGTTTTTTGTATTATATGTGCCTTTTTTGAGTTGTCTCCCTTTGATTTAGAGACACCAAAGTATCAGGCTCTGAACTGTGTTTTTAATGGTAAAAAATGTTTAAGATTCATTTTTATTTATCATTTTCTGCATTGATACCCTAATATTACCAATAAGATATAGATTAAATGTATATATGATTAATTTTTTAAGTTTTATAGCTAAAATTTGTGAGAAAATCACCAATAAATGGCTAAAAGTGTGATATAGACTGCAACAATTCAAATATATATATGCATTTTTGATACTTTTAATATCATATCTGATTGCGGAATAGTCTTACCTTTGATTCTGTGCATCGTCCGACATAAATTGAAGTTTCAAATCGTCTTTGGGAGGACTTCGAAGGAGTTTGTAATTTACGGGCTCCTGGTCAGAGTTCTTGGCTGAAGATGTCGCCTTGGGTAATAGCGGGTTCGTCTGTACAAGAGTCTTCAATTTTTTTTCAAGTCTGACATATTTAATTGTCCCTGTGCCTGAATTAAATCCACCTGTACGTGGTGAGTGATTATGACCCTTTGCAAATCTGGTTTTGCATGTTTTAAAATTGATTTTTCCCATATTTTTATCCAATTTTCACACAATTTTAGCAGCATAAAGTTTAAAATGAACAATTTTGTCCCAGTAATTTTACTATACAGAAATTTCTTAGATAAGCCAGGTATATATAAGTGTGTTAGATGACCATATGTGAGTCATGTATAGTATCTTGCAGATGTATATTAGATTGGGAGTCTGATATAGACAATTTAGTTGGGCTTTGGAGAAGGGCTAATTGGTGATTAAATGTGTCATTTAAGAGGGCCACTTTTATCAGAGACCCATATGCATATACTTATTATGTGTTAAACATCATTTTGCAGAGTTTTTTTTACTATTTTAGTATCAATCATTGCTTTTACAGGTTTAGAAAACAAAGATTTTTCAATTTTCACCTTCAAATATGTGGGTGGGGTACAAAAACTACCCCTATTCTTACTAAAATAAGATTGATTGAATAAATATTTTGAACATAAGTTGAAGACTTACCAATATATATATGTATTATTTGAAATGAGGAGTCATTCCATTTAAAACAGAAATAATGAAGATTTATCATAGTACTTTTTGGGGTATTTTTTTCTATTTAACTCTATTTTCATGGTCTTTATGGCATTACATGCCTTATAGTGAAATGGCTACCATCTTCTCAAATCTTATTTGAAATACAAAAAGTGAACACATTTATATTTGATATACTTTATTCTTATCAAATAATACAAAATAATTCTATATTGTACAAATAAAATATGCCTTTAGGTCAGGGTAACGTATTGTTACATGGCCAGCGATTGGCTAAAAAAAGTGCAGGGAAAACCGTAAGATTCAATGGGACATTAGGTGATTGGACGAGAAGGTATTGTGTATAAGTATAAAAACTATTCTCGAAACTAACAGTACATTGTTTTCTGAAAAAAATGAAGTATTTTGTAAGTCTGTAGGATAATTTTTAACTCTGATATTTACATTTTAAAAAAGTATATGTCAGTCCTGTAATCAGCAGTGAATTACAGTGTAAAGGGGGGGTAATCCTGTTTGAAGTCATTTTACGAAAAATTTGGTTGGCTACCCCTATATAACGAGATGAGTTTTATGTGTCAGGCATGTCATTCTCCCAGAAAAATCACATCTCTATGATGAAAACTCAATTTTAAGGTCTGTTTTGAGGTCATTTCTTATAATGTAAGCCTATGGAAAATTAATACGAGTATCTGACCTTTATCATGTTTCGTGAAAATATATTCCATATTTCACGAAAAACGAAAAAATATCCTCTTAATATTAAATTTGAGCATAGAATATGTTTAAACAATAATTTGAAGAAATGCCATGACCTGGGGAATTTAAGCTTTAGCTTAAACGGCTCCAATCAAATTAATATGAGCAAACTTGATAAAAGACTACCAAAGAATGCTACAGACAAAGTTTGGTGATCATCAATCAATTAGTTCTCTACAAATAGACATTTAACGGTATTTCTATTTTTAGCTTTAGTGGCCCCTAAAAGGGGCTAATCAGATTAATATTAAAGAGTACCCATGAATGCTACAGACAAAGTTTGGTGATCATCCATCAATTGGTTCTGAAGTAGAAGATATTTTTAGCTATAGCGGCCCCTAAAATGGGCCAATCAAATTAATGTGAGCAAACTTGATAAAAGATTACCCAAAAATGCTACAGACAAAGTTTGGTGATCATCCATTCATTAGTTCTATAGGAGAAGCTGTTAAAACATATTTCTATTTTTAATTTTAGTGGCCCCTAAAAAGGGCCAATCAAATTCATATGAGCAAACTTGATAAAAGACTACCCAAGAATGCTACCGACAAAGTTTGGTGATCATCCATCAATTAGTTCTGTAGAAGAAGATGTTTAAAGGTTTTTCTATTTTTAGCTCTGCTGACCCCTAAAAAGGGCCAATTGGAATGACATGTGCAAATTCAAGTGTGACTGTCACAAGGATGCTACAGACCAAATTTGAAGTGAATCTGCTTAGTATTAGAAAAGAAGACGATTGTTGACGCATGACGACGGACGATCGACGCCGGAGCATCCCCCTTTGATACTAAGAGCTCACCCTGCGTAGAATATGTCTTTTTTTACAAACTAGGTAATAAAATCTAGAGGTCTTATGTTTGAATGTTATTTTAATACTAACAGTAAAACCCGTAACGTTTCCGATTTGCTGAGCTATAAAATGTTTTACCACAAAAGTTATAAGGTCCTGTGCCGATGTGGTCATTCCGTGAATGAAATGTTTCCCACATTTATCACAATCAATATCCGAGCTGGAAACTTTCATATCTGCAAAATATGAAAAATGTCAACTGTAATTATACTAAAAAAAGAAATACAAAACCTCCTTCTAATATTTGATACTTTTGTATTAAAACGCGACCTAATTGAATGATTTGGGTTTGGTAGGCCTTACGCGAAGTTATTGATGTCCTTGGCAATTTGTGATTTTACAGGTCATGCCTTTTTGAAATCTGTTTATCGTATTATTGTAACCTATAAGCAGATGAAGTGTTGTTCGGCCCATATCAAGAACGTCCCAAGACGATTCGTCAATCTAGTTTCATTATATCTTAGTGATAGTAAAATTAAGCGTGAATTAGTTTGAAAAAATCATTATATTCATTGCATTATCGACACAAATATTGATTAAACTGTTCTTTAATGTTAAATTTTAAGCTTAATTGCCGTGAATTTATAGGTAATAATAAATCTATTTTTATATTCTAGATCCTGGTCCTGGCTGAAATTGAGAGTATTGCAGCTGTAGCTTGTATACCATACATTTAACATGAAAAGGACTGTCAGGTTTGTTGAATTGAAATTCTAATATTTAATATATATATATTTCTTTACAAAGTATTAATATTGCAACTACTAGACATTTATCTTGTCTATTATGTATATTATTTTTAGAATACTTGTGTAACATTATTAATATAAAATTTACATATTTGTTGTTTTCAGGATGCTGCATACAATGGTCTTAGCTAGAGCCTAGAATGAATATTTCTTAGGAATATGCTGCAAGAAACTGAAGGGGAGCAGTTTTTCTTACCAATCATAGGTGAGACTTTTAAATAGCTTCTTTTAAAAAAGTTTTTGTTGTTTTATGTACATAATTTGCTGTCAATATGAAACTTCAGCTGTATCTTAATTTCTATGCTGTTTTATTATGTAAATCTTAGAGATAATCATTTTAAGATAAAACATATCACTAACTTGATTAATTATATATCTATATTTAAAGCTACACTAAATAAATATGTAAAAATATTTTGCCGTCGGCCTAAAAACCAAGCATTCTACAGATTCATTAACCTTTTTAACAGTATTGTTGTAAATCTCATCAAATATTGTTCATAAATAAGGATTTTAAACGGAAAACCCCACGGTAACACTAAAGTTCGTATACGAATTTTAACATGCAAATGAAGATTATAATCAGCTTGTGTATGCGCTACGTCACAGTGTTATAGCTGCTATCCGGAACACAACAAATATGAGATTTTCTTGTGCAAACACATTTTAACCGTTTAACTTCACGGTGCACTAGGCCTGAGGTTCAGTAAAAAGTAATCATCTCATAAAAAAGATTAAATTTGTATTAAAACATCCGTTACAATGCGGAAATATACCGTTAAATTAGGACTGCTACTTATAGTCATGTTTGTTGATTTAATATTGATGTACGGATGATCAGAACGCGGAGTTTCTCATGCAACAGATATTGTACTTCCGATTTAGCCACAATGAGGTTGTCCATTTTTTATGCTTATAAAACTCATTTTGGTTGTCTGGACACCAAAATAAGATCTGGAGTCGATATGAAACCCAATTTATTAATGAAATGTCGCTATTTCTGTTTTAATGAAATTTATTTAATGTAACTTTAAGATTGACCAAGTCACTTTTAATTAGTAACTTCTTATTTTATTTGCAGAAGCAACAAGCATTTGATAGTATTGCGGGCAATACAGTAGTCCCCTACCGGTCCCTCAAAAAGTTCTTTAATTGTCATACACTCCTGTGTATTGCCATTTATAATGAATTTGAGGATGAAGTCTGTATTTGAAAATATCAACCACAAAACATAATAAAATAAGTTTGTCTATATCACAGTAATGTGTTAAGTTTCCATGCTTAGTAAGGAAATTATGTTTATACAACCTTGTCATATTATTACGATGTGGGATTTTAAAGTAAATCCTATAAGGAATGAAGAAGTTGGAGTGAAAATACCAGTTTCTCGAAAAAAATCTAAGTTCAAGGGGGACATAATTCTGGAAATAGTCTTGCTAGAGTATTTAACCTTCTCAAAAATGTCGAGTGATAATAAGAAACATATATATGAAGTTTGAAGTAGATACATTAGGAAATAAAGAAGTTACTTAAAAAAGACAACATTTTTTCCCCTAAAAAATCTAAGTTCAAGGGAGGTAATACTGATATTTTTTGTGCTAGAGTTATAAACCTTGTCACATATGATGTGGTTGATGACCAGAAACTTATATTTAAAGTTTGAAGTAAACACCTTAAGAAATAAAGAACATATAGTGAAAAAGCTGAAAAATTTAAATCAGAAATCTTGAAATTCAGGCTATTTGTTGCCATAGCAACCAGAATTTTCAACATAGGAAGAAAAGAAAAATATGTGCATAATCTCCAGACTGCCATCTACCCATATTTCAAGTTTCATAAAAATATTTTCAGTACTTTTTGAGTTATCACTGGATCCAGTTTATGTGTTAAATTTGCCATATTTTCAGACTATTTGTTGCCATAGCAACCAGAATTTTCAACATAGGAAGAAAAAAAAAGACGTGCATAATCTCCATACTGCCATCTATCCATATATCAAGTTTCATAAAAATATTTTCAGTACTTTTTGCGTTATCGCGGGATCCAGTTTTGTGGACGGACGGACTGACAGACAGACAGACAGACGGACAGACAGACAGACGGACGGAGGGTAAACCTAAAGTCCCCTCCGGTTAAACCGGTAGGGGACTAATAAGAGACAGCCAACGAAGTATTCAAACACCATCATGAAACACTTAAGACATACCAGGAGAGATCTAGAAGAAGTACTAGTAGTAGAATGGAACAGATTGTAGCTTAATTGTAGCTAAAAGGACTTCTTAAATCGTTAAAATTAAAGCTGCACTTGAACTGTCTTTTTTTTTGTTAAACAGTTAAACTCTGTTACTTTGCTTTATATTAAAATTGAAGTATGTTGAAATGACATTGAAACTTTAACGTTGTGCCAACGTTGAATTTCAACGTTAGTTAAACTTTCAAATCCGAACATAAATCCAACGTTATTTCAACGTTAAAATCTGACCAAAATTCAACGTTGTTCAACGTTTATGTGCCTGCTGGGTTAATTCTATCCAGGACCTATTGGCGGTATTTTAAATATTATTCAAAATTATTTGAAAGTCTGAGGCTAAATGCATCAATCATGATTTGTTAAATCAATATCTAGGCTATAACCTGCATAGATATTGCTTGCACATAAAATATTGCGTGGGAGTTATCAACAATAAAGGTTTGCGTGGCCGTTACCCAAATCATTTTTCTCTTGTGTGTTGGAATAGAAAATTACGAATCAACATTTAACATGCCTAATATTTACATTTTCAAACAAAGAACTTCTATGAACATTTTCTCTTTGCTAACTCTACGTAGTTTAATCAAATTCATAAAAAATACAAAGATTGCGTGAATGTTACCTGAAAAATAATTGTCAACATTGAAAATTCCTGGTGAATTTTTGAGTGTTTGTAAAAGCTATGAGCACTGGGGTGGAAAATAAGGTATAGGCGGCAACAATTCTTTATTCCGCGTAGGCTGCAACAGGTCTCGTATGTAAGTAAAAGGGATATAATAAAGAATTACCTGAAAAACACACGTGAAGCGAGGTTTTTAGCCGCCATATTGTCTGTACGCGTAACCGTAAAAGTCACGTGATTCCCTACCGTGTTGTAATCTAAAATATGTCGCTCATTCCAATTGTTCACCATTACGCACTGACTGCTGCTCAAATAAGATTAAAAAGCAAAAAAATTTCAACTTTTTCGATAATCTAATTTTTCCGATACTACTTTTAAAAATTAATAAAAAATATCTTGTTTAAAAATATCTTAGATCTATTACTTTCTGAAAAGCAGTTACAGTCTGATTTTCTTTTTAGTGAGCGTTCAGAAACTAAATTAATGTCCCTAAAAACCAAGAGGTTTATATAATTATTAATTCATTTACATGTCCATGAAAAGGTGAGAGTTCTGATGCCCAAATGAAAACTTATAACTGTACACGTCCAGCTTGTCTCTTAATACTAGGGAATTTTGACTTCAAAGAGCTGTTTTTCTACAATATTCAAAATATTGACGCTCTTACACATGCATTTGTTTTAAGCCTATGTACTGTATGTGAAAAATACTAACCTATGTATAATGAGTTAATAAAATACAAACAACTTTTACACATATATCAACTTTTAATGACTTCTTTTTATTCACTACAAAATAAGAGATGGTCTTTCATCATAATAATATTCAATAATTTGTTTTTCTGTCAAAATATTTCATTTAGTACAAATGAATTTATATTAAATACCTCGACTGAATGGTGACCTCTATATAAATCGAGTTTTTATTTACACAAAAATGTTTAATCAATGTTCCAGGTGTTGCAACAACATGCACGTAACTTAATAATACACAAATTACCTAAAACTTGAACTTACTTAGTTATGATTTCTTAGGGTCTCTTTTTTCTTGGCACACATCAATTTGTTATTCTCTACCTAACTACATATAAATATAAATGTACAAAAATTACAGTAAATTTACAAGATTTTATAGTACAATATTGAGAGATGGCGGACAACATCCTGTTAAACCATTATACAGATAAATTACAACATAGCTGTCATCATGTATACAATAATAAATCTATGAAATACACAAATTTCTTGAAAATAATCTGTTTGTACTATGTCTGGTGATCATGAAAGGGTTGATAAGAAAATCTATAAAACTTCAAGCTGTTCAACAATACCACCACGGTCGTATTGATCACTAGTCATAACTTATCACAATGAAACTGATATAAAATTCAACAATAAAAAACAAAAATGCGTAACCAGATTTATTATTAATTTTCATTTTATATTTTCATGATTTATAAGCAGTAAAAATTTCTCTGATTTAAAAGCGTCAATGAACTATGACATTTTACATAATTAAAATGAATCAATAATGATAATATCTTATTTATCAATGTCTACTATACAATTTACTGGCACAATCTACATCTTGCTAAGATTATTTTGAACTTACATCATAATTATCCATTAATTAAAGCTATATTTATACAAGGAACATCGCAATGCGATGCAACCAGGTTTTCAGCAAAATATTTCACAGAAGCTTTGTCATGAAGGGGCATTTGTTTTTTATTGAACTTTTAGGAGGAATTATGGCTTTTTTAATATTCCTCAAACAAAAATGATTGAGAAATTTCATGTTGTCTATTCGCCTTTTTTTCCCAAATGTTTTAGAAAGGTAAACAGTACTTTATTTTTGCATTTTTGCGTCTCTTGTCATTTTCTTTTGTCAACAATATTGGCGTGTGGTGTTTTGTGCGATATCAAGAAAAGTATGGTCACAATTTTAAAAAAATACTTGAATGATGTCTTGGAAGAAACATGGGAATTTAGTGAGCGCCAGGGCACTTGATGACAAAGCTTCTGTGAAAGTTTGGTCAAAATCCATTGAGAAATGTAGGAGAAGTTGCGCACTGTAGAAATAGTTCACTATATATTCTGTATAAGGAAAAAATATACAAAGGGCCATAATTCGGTCAAATATTATCCAATCACAAAACCCCGACAATATGTGCCAGGCACTTGATAACAAAGCTTCTAAGAAAGTTTGGTCAAAATCCGTTGAGAAATGTAGGAGGAGTTGAGCACAGAAGAAATTATTCTCTATATATTCTGTATAAGGAAAAAATATACAAAGGGCCATTATTCGGTCAAATATTATCCAATCACAAAACCCCGACAATATGTGCCAGGCACTTGATAACAAAGCTTCTGAGAAAGTTTGGTCAAAATCCGTTGAGAAATGTAGGAGGAGTTGCGCACAGAAGAAATTGTTCACTATATATTCTATATAAGGAAAATAAACAAAGGGCCATAATTAGGTCAAATATATACCAATTGCAAAACCCTGGCAATATGTGACAGGGCACTTGATGACAAAGCTTCTGAGAAAGTTTGGTCAAAATCCGTTGAGAAATGTAGGAGGAGTTGCGCACAGAAGAAATTGTTCACTATATATTTTATATAAGGAAAAAAAACAAAGGGCCATAATTAGGTCAAATATTATCTAATCGCAAAACCCCGACAATATGCGCCAGGGCACTTGATGACAAAGCTTCTGTGAAAGTTTGGTCAAAATCCGTTGAGAAATGTAGGAGGAGTTGCGCACAGAAGAAATTGTTTACGCCCGCCCGTCCGCCCATCCGCCCGCCCGCCCGCCCGCCGACATACCTCAATCTAATAACCAGTTTTTTCCTTCGGAAAACCTGGTTAAAAATATATACCAGTCTCTTTTTATTTTAATAATTTGCTATTAAGGAAAGCATTGTCTGTTACATATGCTATGACAAAAAATGTCTTCATTTAATTTATTGATGATGCATATAAGAATTATTGAGGCATTGATTCATCTACTGAAGTAGAAATTGTACTTTTGGCATATTTATGGGGCATATGCGGGTCACAGTATGTTTTTTAACTTGTTATATAAAAATGAAGAAGTTCAAAATATTCTTAACAAGCAATAGTTCAACATATAAGTTGATATAGTTATATTACATTGATATAAAACATAACAGAATATGTCTTACAAGAGTAAGAAATAATAGAATAAATAAAAACTGTATAAAAAGTTTTTCCTAAAGTAAGAGATTAATATAAAAGTGTGATTAAAATCTCAATACAACTATGAGATAAATTGTTTCCTTCAAGGAATAAAGTCTTAAAACCTTTAAAAACATTAGAGCCATAATTTTCTTGCCCATTTTTATACTTTCAGTACATGATTATTACTTATATGAATATGACAAGGTAAACTTTGTTTTATAAATTACTTTCACAAATTTTACAAACATAAATTTAACTTCAATATAAAAAAAGAAAAACAGTACTGAAGTGTTTTATGTAACTGATAAAACAAGCATAAAAAATATATACATCTGCTAAAGTTACAAAATGAGGGAAAGCAGTAACAAGAGAAAAACTTTATTTAAAATGTTCAGGTATAATATTTAAAATGGTACATTCATGAATATCATTTAAAATAATACATTTGTGTATATATATGTTAAAATGCAGCTTCAAGTTACATAGCAAATATGATTACATAATAAAGTTGATGCTCCATACCAAGGTTACAAAATTAGTAGGTGTGTGTCCTGATGAAACATTCTGATTGGTCTATTTTGTAAATCTGTTTTTTGTAATCGACCAACCAACTGCTGCAGCTTTGCAATTGGTTTATATTTTTCAACCACAGTTTCTGAATGAATCCATGAGATTGTTGAGATTGAGACTGGTTTACAAGGTCAAGGTTTTGTAACCCTAGCGACTGATTGCACATACATGAGCTGATAAAAATGATTAAAATAAAAACCCGTATTGAAAATGCCTTTGTTCATGCATTTCCCTTTCCAGTCTGAAATGCAATCTTTAATCTTGTGAAACAATATAAAAAGATCAAAATCTCGTAAACATTAGATTAGTTTAAGAAAATTAACTGCATTCCAAAAACAATTTCGTAAAATATATGAAAATATGACCAGTAAAACAAATGAAAGCTGTAAGTTGCTATTTCACAAATCATTCAAAAATCAGAAAACTGTTGAATATCTTCACACAGATAAAAACTGCAAACATTTCCCATTACTGGCTTTAAATTAGTACATACATGTACCACTGTCATTCTTGTATAAAACTCTGCTACATTATGATTTGACAATCACACATACATTTCATTCATAATTGTATAATTTTCAATAAAGCCAAGTTTTTGTATTGACTTTGCTTTCTGGATTTCTTCACATCATTATTCTATTCTAAGCATCAGCCAAAAATTTTCTTTGGCTTGTGATTTTTCCCCCAAATATTTTGACAAGAAGTTTTCCACATAGAACACTTGAAAACCACTTCCTGTAGCAATTCATTACATAATATTTATAAAGATTGTCATTTAAGTTTTGTGGGTGAGTTTTAAAAATGATATGAAAAATAAAAAAATGTCAACAAAAACGACATAAGATCTTAAAAACGACAGAATAATTTGGCACTAGGAGAAACAAAACACCTTTAAATATGCCAGCAGAAATTTCATTGGTGCTTAATTCATTCAATGTATCATGTTGTCAAGGAAACGTTGGCACAATTTCAAGAAATTGCTTTGAAATCTTCTCACTCTTCACTTAAATCAATCAAAATAAGCACCTTTATAATTAGTCTGTAAATTACAAGCAAATCACATACTGAAAAACACAAATAGTTGCCAAGTGAAATAATGTGAACATATTTCAATCATTTTGAACTACATTTGTGTTTCTATGAGATTGGACATGAAGTTTTACGGATGGCAACTGATTTTGATAACATAAACCAGTCCACCTGCTTGTTCTGTACGAAAACATTTCTCAAACAACCCTCGAATCCTTGATACGTCAACGCTGCCACCTGATTGGATGATTCTGGAAAATAGTGTAAAATATAGTTTATAGTAAATTGTTTTATATTTGGTACAATTACATTGACTTACATTCTAACTCATTTATTTATATGTCACATTCTTCATAAATAGAATAAAACAGATGAACATGAAAAGTAATGCAGAATGTTTCAAAAACATTCATTTATATCAAATTTCATTAAAGATATCTTTTTCACAAAATAACAACGATAAGTGAGCTTAATCTGTAATGTTACAAGTGGTCATGTTAAATATGATTGAATATAAATGTTAATATAAACAGGTTTAGAGGTTATCAATTAATTCACAAAATGTTTTTTTTTAAAATATCAGTAATTAATGTAACTCTAACAGAACAGTCATAACTTCCAGCACAGATTTCTAAATATATAAAATTTCATAAAAGATTTTTCATAAAAGTAATTACAAGATTTTTAATTCCATGCTTACATAAAATTGCAAAATCTACAAACTTTAACCTTGAAGGAAATATAAAAATGTGTGTGACTATATTACCTGGCTTTCCTCCCAGATACAATGGGGCTGATGTGCCTGTTTCTGCTACATTTTTATTACCCGAATTTGTAAATGAAGCCTTGTCGTCTACTTCTACTGTGACATTATTTCTCACTAGTGTTGCTACAACCTTGTGCCATTTATTGTCACATAGACTGAAGGCAGTACTGAAGGATGTGGCAGCCATAACTTTACCACCACTGTTTACAACATTCAATTTCACCTGAAATCATAAGACAAACACCTGTATCACACCATATAAACTAAATGGTCTATGATGAACAAAAGCTTTGAGTAATTCAATGTTCTTTCTAAACAAGTAATTTTATGCACTTCTTACTGCAAAATGTAAGAATTACATATTTTGTGCATATACCGCAACATAGCATAATTTGGTTTCCTTTCGCATTTTATTCAAGGTAATATACAAATGCATATGTACAAGGCCAACAATAATTGTGACATAGTTAAGGTAATTATAATATATTTATAACAATGTAAAATATTTAAGGGAAATATACAAACCTGTCCCTGATGTAACTGTAAAGTCAGAGCATTCCCTCCACCTGGATTACTCACTGTTGCTAGGATACCTTCAGGTTTTGATGTACGGAATTCCAACTCCATTTTAAACTGACCTCCTACTTCAAATTTCTTTTCTACAAACAAAAAGCATATTTAACTTAGCACTCTATTTCAAAAGTGATGAATATGAAATGCCTATTTTTAAATAGTTTCATGTTAATATAAATAATGAAATAGACTTTCATAATCTCTACCAACCCAGTATTTATCAAGTTTTTGTGCTATGACAGTGAACCTGTGTGCAACTCATGACTTAATGACTATATCAAATTATAAGTCTCAACTGATTTAAGAACGCTAAAAGATGACATAAAATAAAGCAACAATATAAGCACTTACCATACAGTCCATATGAATCCCCTGTAAAGTGGGCACCTTTTTCTACATTAGTAAAGCACTTGTCCACACCACTGACCAATGTCGCATCATCAAATGTTTTAACATCACTGTTAACTAAAAGATTCCTTATGCATCCACGAATACTATGTTTAACCTACAATTAAAATATGAATAATGTTCCTTAAAAAGCATATTTTCTATCATTCAACATATATTGGCTCCATGTCATGATGTGCACCTTTTTATGCAAGCAATTCTACTCTTCATGGTATATTCAGTGCAGTATACAACTTGCGTTAGCCAATCATAAATCAAAAACCTTATGTATATTATAAAATTCACATTTGGTCGGGATTAACCGACATTTGCATACTCGCTAATATCCTAGCTAGTTGTCTAAAATACTGTAATAATTCTTTTAATAAACCATCTGTTTTAAGAAATATGTAATTCATTTGTACTTACAATATCCTTATTCATGAGCGGGTAATATTCTTTTGGCACACCACCAACAAGTAAGGGTATGTCAACCTTCAAAACTTTGGAAATTTTAGCACCTTTCTCACTGTTACCATCTACTGTCACTGTAATACGTTGTTTAGCTTTGCTCACCCTGACTGTATGCCAATTACCATCATATAAACTGTCCTTTGTTTTAACTACTACTTCTTTAGTTGATCCTTTTTTGTCAAATGATAGAATAATTGCACCATCTCTTAGCTGAGTGGCTAAGAAAGCAGTGTGGTCCCAATTAGACATGTACAACAACAGTCCATCTTTGTAAAAGGTGCGGAAGTCAAAACTGATTTCAAACCTGAAATAATTCACAAATGTGATGAATCCACAAAGCAATTTTATGTACAAATTCAATAATAATAAACCTGTTTAAATATTTAAGAACTATAAGATAAATCAGATAAAAGTAACTGAAACTGAAAATTAAATAAGATTTTCAAAGCGGGATATCCAGTATAAGTGACCCAAAATGCACTCTCTCAGTTGTATATATTCAATATTGATTTTTTTAAAAATATAAAAGTTTTCCCTTTAGAAACTGAGCTTACAGCATTGAAGGACAAGCAATATGAAATCAAGTCACCCAAACCCATCCCAAATTAAAATTTTGTCTCTCAGTACATTACTATACACAACAGTATCTTGTTTACATTATGAAACCCCCTTTAGTCACTCAGCATTATTACATGAAAATGAGTAAGTTCATGCATTAGGTTCCTACAATACACAGAAATAAAGTTACAAAACAGCTTCAGATTTTGAAAACGCTAAAAGTGGCATAGAATAAAGTCAACGGTACATACTTCCTCTGGATTTTCTTCTTGGACACATTTATTTGAATAAGACTTGTATCTTCATCTCCGAACGCAAATGCTTCTAGCTCAGAAACATAGATTCCTGTATTAGCAGCACATGATGTTGGGCCAGAAGTTGTAGGTATTGTTGTGGTGTCATCTGATACCGTCTTCACTGTTGTTACTTGTGTTCGTTCTTTAGTTGTCTTCACAGCAATAACCTCAACTTCTTTATCTGGTTGTCTAAATTTCATTTAACAATTAATTACTAATTTTTCCATTAAATTGATCTTATGAATTTATGTACATGAATAAGAGAAAACATCAGTGTAATAATCAGATACGAAAAGAATAATACACTTTAAGTATTATTCTTTTTGTGTCTGATTATTACACTGGATTCAGACCATTTTGCAAACAAGGCCACTTGGCCATGTTTCTCATTGTCATGTTGGACAAACTTTATTTGGTTTAAATACATCATTTTAACAAACGCAATCAATAGGGATGCTTGTGCTCAGCTTACAAAATCATAAGGTAGTTTCTATTTTTTTCCAACTTAAGTCCCAGAATTTCACGCCAAGTTTTCCAAATCCAGTAAGCCATATTTTTCACCATCAAAACCAATTTTTTTAAAAATTGAGTGGCATTTTTAAAAAAAAAAATTTGATGGTTTTATGGTTTTTCCTTTTTAAAAATATTACAGAGGCACAAGAATCTTAAAGCATTAGATATATTTTCAAAAATCTGCCAAAATGCTGAATCAAAACAATTCTAAAACTTAATAATGTAAAGTATCTATGTTTACTTTTCTCTTAAATTCCAACTTAGACATAGCTAATGAAGTTGCAGTTTCCCTATGCCTTCAGTGCAAGTGTTACTCCCAAGAAAAGTAAAATGTAAAAAAGGTCTACCACAGATAATTCTGTTACCTTATTTCAGAGGGGGCAGGTGAATCACTGATGACAGGTGGAGGATTTGTATTAAAACTATCATCATATTTTGTCTTCTCTCTACATCGACCTATATCTGCCATATCATACTGCTTGGGATCATTGATGTTCAACACACTGAAATATACAACCATCATAAATAAAATTGACATTGAATTCAAGAAACAAAATTGTGTGAGAACATTTGAAGTTTATTATCAGTAAAAGTCTTCCTTAAATAAGAAATTTAAAACCTTATTGTTATAGTTGCATCTAACATACTGGTTGCTCAAAACAAAACAAAAAGACACTATCACACAGCAACTGTAAGAATGGGATATATACTGCATAAAAATTCAAGTAAAATGACATAAAATGTAAAAAAAATCAATAAATTAATATGAGTGTTGTTGAACAATGATTTAGTGAATAAATTAATAAACCAACACAATTAAAAATGTCAATACATGTTTACTTTATATCAATTCAATAATGAATATTGAAAACTACAAAAGTATACATAAAAACAATGACATACTTTCCATTAATGACAACATCACTGATACAACCATCCAATGTCTGTGAAACTGCTGCTTTATCTCCTACATTTGTATCAAAATTTGTCGGCAGTCCACCAAGATATAATCCACCATCTTCTCTTACTGTAATCTTATCAAAACGGTTTCCTAGACGACCCCTTCCTATTGATTTATCATCAACAAATAGTTCAATCCTAAAATAAATATATAAAATCAATGATCAAAACATTCCATTAACATATTTAAGTGGTATTATGCTCATATTTTCATTGTCAAGTTCAGCTTAATCAACTACATGTATATACTTCAAAAGATTGACTGTTATTACAGCGATTGACCTACAGTTGATACAGAAAAAAAAGTTAAGATAAAATATATATATCTGCCTAAAATATAAAAAGACTGCCCCATTCTTTTTATAAATTGAATGTTATTGATAAATTACGATGGATATATGGATATTTATAAAAATTTCCTTGGGGCCATGCAAGTAATTTATCCTTCAAATGGAGAAAATTATAAAAATGAAAGGAATTAAGACAAAAATGTAAACTTATTATCATTCTACATTAGCAAGAGATATTTGTGAAAAACATGCCTATGTAATAGAAACCAATTAATCATGTTTAATGAAATTCTTACCTGTTAATTTTGTAAAGATCAGGACTGATAAATATCTACATTGATATAATGTCCTCTTTGTAATGCAAAATTATGCAAAGGCCTTCTTAACACATTTTACTACAAACAACATCATATTGGTTAAGGTCAACCTGACCCTGAACATTCACTTAAATAGGATTACTAAATAGTCATGACCAACCTCCTCGTCTAATCTAAGGTCTGTTCACAAATGTGTGTGTTTGTTCTTTGATTAGACAATTTTAAGTGACTTTTGACTAAACACAAAGATTAAAAGAATCATGAATCATTGACTAGGCATGACAAACTGCCACACCAAATCTTTGAAGTGGATGCCAAAACATACACATAGTTATTGGCTGGAAAGCTTTTCATAATTCAAACACAGTGACAATAAACTTTGACAACTGGTCATGATTAACCCACACACTAAATTTTGGGTCTGTAGGCCAAAACATTTTGTAGCTATAAGTAGGACTAGGCTTTAGCAGCCAAGGGCACGGGGTTACCTTCAACCTCAAAATCAATCAGGTTATCCTACTACTTATGACCAACCTCCATACTTAATCTAAGGTCTTATGGCCAAACCATTCTCTCTAGTTACTGGTCCAACAATCTTCAGCCATATTGACTTTTAACTGACCTAAAAATCAATAGTGGTCAGACAAGGTCTGGTCTATGGACACTAAGTAAAGCAATATACCCATTTTCTTTAAAGGGGATATAATTAAATGAGGCTTTTTAGCACTTTACATGAAGGGCACAATGAAAAGTCAAGATCATACACTTTTCCTGATAATGTACAATGATAAAATGATACATTTATATACATAAATGTATTTAAATTCTGCCCCACTGGAAACCATTTTCCTTAACAACAATATTTGACATCTTACTTTCTGTCTGTTTTCTTCACAGCAATGTTATGCAACTTGCCATCATTGTAGGTATTGTCTGACTTGACAATAACTGGTGTACCTCCTCCACTGAACCTGCCCTCAACGTGACCTTCAGTTATTGTTAGGTAGTAATATTGCTGAAACATTCAAGTATATATATAAAGTTTTACAAAACTGTAACAAAATGCAAAAAGTTTTCACCAGAAATACAAGTTATTGCAAGGTTGTGTAATTTCACTATGGCAATTTTTCAGCAAAGAGAATATGCAGATAATTCTGTACTAAATTCTTGAAAAAATATATGTTTTTGATAGCGAAAAATGGGCAGTCAATCTGGAATAACACTCATGACCATTTGGTAACTACATATATTCAAATGTTTAACCAGATGTACATAGCTGAATGAATTCTATATTGTGATATAATCCCTTGAAATACTGAATTTATCCTTAAAATTCCAAAAGAATAAAGAACAAAACATAAAATGAATGAAAACTATTGAATATAAAGACCCTAGAGGATCTGCCCTGAGTAAATAATCTGAACAGGACTGAACAACCAAAGATTACAGAAGCACTATTGACTTAGGTAGCCTCAGTTTCAGACAAGTAGTAAATAAAGCAATTAATCCCTTGCTCTGCACTGTTTTCACAAGAATGATCAAACATAAGGGTTTCTGTATCCATAAATCTCTCCTATTTTATGTCACACAGTTTTCACCAACAACATTCTGTTGTCTTATATATTTATATAAAATCATACTCACATCACCATTTATGCTCTTAGCTAACAAGAGTAAAGCATCTGGTTGCTGTGTTTTAAATGATACAGACAGGTCTCCATCAGCCGAGTCCAGGCTCATACCAGGGTACTCCGCAAACCCAGATCCATAAAACCCTATTGACCTAAACCCCTGAAATAACCATCAAAACATTTCCTATCATACTGCCACATTTATCTTCCTCTAGTAGAATATTTTCTAAACTACAGTTATTCTAGTTATTTATAAATCAAATATGTAGTCTACTCAATTCTTTAATTTCAACAGTATTTTTTTCTCTCCACAAAACTTTTTCCTCAGAAATAAAACAATACAAAGAAGCATACTCTATCCTTGCAGCCTTCTGTAACACCAACAGTTGACTTGCCATCCCAGAGATTCACAGAATCTACAGCAATTTGTAATCCGCTCATACAACCCAGAAACCTGTCTGTAATTATCTCCTTCCTTCAAATATAAATATACACACTTAAAACTAAAAATTTTAATTTAGCCTTTTCAGTATTATAGAGCATTTCATTCACAGGATTGAAATTAATTTTCAATGTGTCACTTATCAAAGAAATTTATGTATATGTAATTTATTATTTGTACAAGTAATAATAAACCAAATCTTTATAACATTTAAAGAGATTTAAAGAGACTCAAAATAATGGGTATACTATAACCAAGTTACTTTAAACAGGTAGGTCTGAATATTTTTGAAGTATTAAACCATATATCAATGACTCAAAAAAGAAATATGGAATTTGTTCCTGAATAAACTCGATGTTACAAGAAAAAGCTTACCCTGAGGCCTCCATGTATTTGTCCATATTGACTGAAGGTGGCATCCCTCCAAAAAACAGGTCACTTCTCTCTACTCCATCAAGAAGGTAGTCTCCACTCGGTGCCTCAATAACGAAGTTTTCACTGGCAACCTCAAGGACAGCTGTAAAACAGATACTATTATACTCCTGTAATAGTTCATTGTTACCTACCTTTGATACCCCACAACACACACACACACATATATATATGTGAAATATTATCACAACAAACATAAAAATACACTGCAACTCTTTTAACATTATCTGTGTGATCATGTCTTTTTGACATGTATTTTGCTGCATTTATAGATGAACCAAGAGACTGTCCATTTTAAGTTTCCTTTATACAATATACTTGATCTCAACAACTACATTGTACAAGCACAGAATCAGGTAAGACTGCATGTATGTCCTGGCAGAACTGATTCTATACTCGTCAATATTTCTTTGCAATATTATATAATATATCTCTATTGGAAATTTTAGATTCTTAAAATTCTAAAATAGGCCTAATAGTAATTAACAATTTTTTGCTGTTTCACATTACACATCTTTTATTACATCACATCCATTGTTTTAATATCACTCTACATGAACCCGCAAATTCTGGTAAGTTAATATAAATTATACTCATTATTAAATTCATTCTTATTGTTGACCTTTCTATCAAAACATTTTCTTCAACATGAAATTCATGTCTCCTGCCAACTAAATACATAATTTATTATGCATGGAATTCTCAAGATTACTATAACTGCAATTGGATAGAGGTCAAAATGGAGAATTTCTTCAGATATCAAAGAGTTGTAGTGTAAAACACTTAATTTCAACAATTAGTATCATATATATTTTAAATATATTTAATCAAATTAATTGAAAGTATGTAATAAGTAAAATAGTATTTACTTTATATAGTATTCAATGTACATGTACATCATTAATTTAGTTTTAATTATTAAATAAATACATTAAATAATGTAGATGTCTTCGTACATAATTTAATATATGCTTTTTGTAAGACTTATATATTCTTATATTATAATAGAATTATACTATGTTTCTATGGGATATATAGAGATATAGATCTAGTAAACAGATGATTAGGTAGGTATTAACTGTACTGGCAACTAAAAGACAACAGACAGTGGACGAACATAACACATAACTAGCATTTCAGGTAAATAACTGATAACATGCAACTTTAACAGGCCATGGTATCTTCCCCACCCACCACAAGTTTCTCTTGGCTTCAGAAATAACACTAATAATCATAATCCCTCTTAATATAATTTGTATTATATAATTCTTTCTCAGTATTTTTAAAATAGTATATGCCTTTAACTCAGTAAACAATATTAACACATATAAATTTTGCCCATCTTTTTACCTTAAGAAATATACTTTAACTTGCACAATGTTGTTCAAGGATTAAATTAATAAAAGATTATAGCTCATGCTGAAGACATCAGATATCTGTCTACATTTTTCTCTAATCAAGCAGGGACAAGTAGCATTCTAGAAACTTCTAAAACCATTATAGTGATACTACTAACACATCATTCCAAACATAAACACAAAACACACGTGTATTAGTAGCGACAACACAAAATATGTTAAAGCGTTAACACATAACTCTACCGAGAAGTCCACTCCTGGCAACAGCAACAGACACCCATTTTTTAGTATTGTATCTTTGCTCTGTCTGCATTGTTCCGTAAGTTCCTTCACCAAGGTAGAAATTAAACACAATTTTTCCATTACGTAGTTCTAGTGACATGTACTCTCCCTGAAATTGCAAGAAAATTAGAATTATATGGACATGGGTTATACTCCTTTCAAGACTTTATTATATTTCTTAAAAAGGAATGACTATATTTTTTCTGACTTGTTTCTAAAACACCAAAGACACCTATTTCAATAGTAATAATACTAGTATTTGTGCTTGTTTGGTTAGGTTTTACGATGCAACAACACTGTTAAGTTCATATGGCCACTTTCCAGCTTTATAATGGTAAAGGAAAACCTCAGATGTCCCTCTGTGCATTATATCAGGTACAAGCAGGCATTCAATTAGAACCACTGACCTTCCGTAACCTTGCTGGATAGCTTCTTCACATGCAAGAGTCCAAAACTCCCAAACAGATTCAAACCCACAGCGGTAAGTGTCAAGTGGTTTGATGTCAAAGACATTAACCACTCAGCTACCCCTATATAATAGTACCAAAGCCTTTCAATGTCATATAGAATTTAATACTAAGGTAGGATATAATCGTTTCAAAATAGAAATATTTAATATATAAGAAATATTAATAATTTTAGACAGTCAAAACTGTGTGTAAGATAATATCATACTGATTCTTCATTTCCAACAAAGAAGAGTGAAGCATTGTCCCAGTATGTTTTGATTTCGAGGATGATGTTAGCTAGGAGAGGAGACTGTATCCTGTTCTTGTCTGTGACAGCATAACCTGTACCATCAAACGAATATACATTCGCCCCTGGTGCCTGAGATGGTCTGTAACATAGAATATTTCATTGATTTTAGAATACAACCAGTCCGTCTTATTGACCGAGCCATCTGGTTTCGATGTAAAATCTGATTCTCATCAAGCAATTATATGTAACTTATACATGCTATTCTATCACATGTCACAGAATTAGATTTGTAACCTTATATCAGTTAAGAAATACCTTAACATTTTGATTTTAAAACAATGATGATCGTTAATAATGATTTAAGTGTAATGTGTGTGTGGCTATTTTTTTTTGGACATGTTTAAATGTAACTTTCACTGTTTAAAAAAGTTTACAAATAAAAGAGATATGCTGATGCTAGGTAATTCATTTTTATCAAATTAATTCTAATGTAAGTAAAAATAGATAAAATGAAGCTTACACTTCAAGACAGGCTTTACAAGTGTCCTGGATATTTGTCTCAAAGTTGTATAAGCCAACAAGCTTGTCATCAATAAATACACTCCCTAAACAGCCAGTGAAGTTATATGAAGTAAGTCCACTTGGTAAGGGATAATTTTCCGGTATACCAGATATAAATACATCAGTTTTTTCACCAAGGCCCATCACTGATGACCCAACAGGAGATGATGATGTTTTTGGAGAGCCAGCTTCCTTTGATAACTTATGCACTGATAGACGTCCCAAACGACCAGTCCTAAAACATAATTCATTATGTTTAAATGGCTTTGAAAATATAGTTCTTCACTGTATACATGACATAGCAAGTCAACAGGGTCATACAATCCTCATTTTGTGTTTAAAAAATATCAAATAAGCATCAACAGCAACAGATATGACAGAAGAAAATCTTATAAATAACAGGCTGTCCAGCACCTTCTGACAAAAAATTAGGGCAAATTTAAGGGCAATTTTTAAGAAATTTTAGGGCTAAAATTAGGAATTTTAGGGTAAGTAAAAGAAATTTTAGGGCTAAAATTTGAAATTTTATAACTAAATTATGGCCCCAAAAGACCATGATATTGGCCCAACTTTGCATATTTGACACAAAAGTAAGTAACTCACAAATAATGCTCTAGTTCAGTTATAACAAACTGTAACTACATTAAAACATAACTAGAACAAGAAACATGGCAATGCCATGAAACCAGGTTTTCAATTATCACCATTGTAGATAAATATGTTGTAGTTGAAATACAAATACAAGAAACAAATTGTAACTATGTGCAATGTAAATCATGAATAATGTAGGAGGAATTGCACACAAGAAGAATTCACTATATATTTCACTATATATTCTGTATAAGGAAAACAAACAAAGGGCCATAATTATGTCAAATATTATCTAATCACAAAACCCCGACTTCATGCCCAAGGGCACTTGATAACAAAGCTTCTGTGAAAGTTTGGTCAAAATCCTTTGAGAAATGTAGGAGTTGCACACAGAAGAAATTGTTCACTATATATTCTATAAAAGGGAAAAAAAACAAAGGGCCATAATTAGGTCAAACATTATCCAATCACAAAACCCAGACAATATGGACCAGGGCACTTGATGACAAAGGTTCTGTGAATGTTTGGTCAAAATCTGTTGAGAAATGTAGGAGGAGTTGCGTACAGAAGAAATTGTTCACTATATATTCTATATAAGGAAAAAATCAAAGGGCCATAATTAGGTCAAATATTATCCAATCACAAAACCCGGACAATATGCGCCAGGGCACTTGATGACAAAGGTTCTGTGAAAGTTTGGTAAAAATCTGTTGAGAAATGTAGGAGGAGTTGCGCACAGAAGAAATTGTTTACGCCCGCCCACCGACATACCTCAATCTAATAACCAGTTTTTTCCTTCGGAAAACCTGGTTAATAAAAACAATTTTAAAGTTATGAGTATCCCGGAACAACCAATTAGTTAAACTGCCAACTGTTATTTGCCAATAGTAAATGGAAGGAGAAATAATGCTTTAAATTTATTCTAGCTATAAATGCATAAAAAATTTATCAACATTAATTCATTTTAAGGTTGGTACATTTTGAACAAGTCTTTATCTTTCATAAAATACGATAAAATGATATGATCCACTCAGGTCATTCCCGGAATATTTTAACCTAAATTCCAACAGCAGGGTATTCACCACTGAAGAATTTGTTAAAGATAAATCAGGGCTACTAACAATTGTAGAAAATTTCACAACAGAGTCAATATATTCAATGATTTTTAACAGTTATTTTCCAGATTAAAAAAAAACATACACTAAATGTTATAACATATTTAGTACAGTACATTCATTGCATTGGTGTGACTAATGTTAATTTGTACAAAAAGGGCAGCTGAAGGTGTCACTTCTTAGTATGGTAAAAGCAACCAATCATTACTGCCAGTTTACCTTACCCACTTTATAATATTACCAAATATGAAAACTTGTCTAGATCTGCCAGCTGGTATCACTTTAAAAAGATCTATTCTAAAGTCATCACTTGAAAAGAACTTGATAACAAATTAAGATTTTATTAAAAAGGTCCCCTACATAAAGTCTGATGAAATTTAGTGGAACCTTTAAATACATGTAAGACTAAGGTAAATGGTAAAACTCCATAGCAAATAAAAGATATAACTTGCTTGGAAATTTTTTAACTCCATTTTAAACAAGTGACTATTTTGATATAGTCAAAGTTGGACAATTTTTATTGTTCCATTTAAAACAAACATTTTTGATAACATCTAGCAATTAATCAAGTATGGCATTTCTGCAAGAGTTAAAAACAACTTGTGACTGCAATTCAGTCAGACATGACATCTGCTCCTGACTGACTGTTAAAATTCAGTTTTTTATTGAAAAATAGTTGTTAGGGGATATGTTATAACAAAAGATAAAAAAATAGGAATTTCAGTGAAAAAATAGGGCATTTTTAGGAATTCCCTTTGAATTTTTCATTTTTTTAGGAATTTTAGCCAAACTGAAAAAAATTAGGATTTTTTAGGAATTTTAGGGACGCTGGACAGCCTGATTTAATAAATACACCACTCACACCTGGTAAAATTTTGAAAAGCTAGATGATTCAATATATTTTCATGTTTTCCATCAATATATACAGATATAACAATATATTTATCTATATATATCTATGTAATAAAATGTTTAAACTTAAGTTTTAAAAAATTGTCCATGATAAGAGAGAGGAAAATACCTTTCAGCTTTGACTTGGTACCATTTTTCGGTTTCTTTAATGATATCAGTTTGTGATTCAATAATGACATCACTATCTACACTTCCCGTACCACCACCAGCATTCCAACTAAACCGAATCTTACGATTGCGTAATTCAACAGCCAAGAACTCCTGAAATAAAACATCCATATGTTATACTGTAAATCTCCTTTACAAATGTGAATGCCAATTACTTATTTTCATTGTAAAATTGGGATAAAATATCTGTAAAAATGAATATTACTTTCAAGTATTTTTAGATGAATATGCATTGCTTTATAATTGAAGAATAAAGAAATACAAAATGGCAAACTGATGTTTGATATGTTTCCAGTAAAATGGTAAATATTTTATGTCTACATATTTGATGCAATTTTAACTTGAAACAATACTACCTTATACTGTGAAACCATACTACATTATACAGATTTTTTTTTTTAAGAATCAATGAATAAATTGATGATGTAAAAGGCAAACTCAAGTAATTCAAAGTCAAACTGTACATTCTAAACCTACTACCTTATATTGATCATCATCAACAGTGTTGATCTCTGGGTTCTGTATAAGGACAATCATCATGTCTAAATCAGGCTCATCCGTCTTGAAGGCAAAGCTTATAGAGTTTATTGTTCCTGGATTCACCATAGGCCGGAATTTCTTCACACACTGTCCCTTAGCTTTCAGAGATGTTTTAACCTAAAATACAGTTTGTACATTTCCTTTAATTAAAAACATGATTTTTATGATCACTCTAATTAATCGCAGTTCATATGGAAAGAACATTCTACTTTTATTCTTCATTTAAATGAAATAGAACACAAATCAATCAAATGATCTTGTCAAAATATATTCAATATAAGCTAAATTTCAACTAAATTGCATGTAAGCTATTGTCACTCCACTACATTAAGTTTGTTTGTTTGTTTAATTAGGTTTTATGTCAAACCCACACATTATAGGTCATATGGCAACGTTCCAGCTTTACTGGTGGAGGAAGACCTCAGGTGCCCTTCCATGCATTATTTAAGGCACGAACAGGCACCCGAGTAGAACAACCGACGTTCCGTAAGCTAGCTGGATAGCTTCCTCACATGAAAGAATCCAAAGTCCCTGTCAGGATTCGAACCCACAGCAGTGAGGGGCAAGTGGACTACATTAAGTATGATTTACAAAGAAACAAATAGAAAGTCAGTGCAAGAGGCAAAAGTCACATGTTTTTGTTTTAAATAGCATAAATCTAAGTAATTATAACTGCTGCCATTGACAGATATACTTAATAACATTATTTTATTTTCCATCCTTTCTTATTCCTACCTTATTAGCCTCTTCCCTGGCCTCTCTAATGCTCTGTTTCAGTTTACTGAGTTTATCCCTCAAGTCTGACCTCAGTTTCCTTGACTGTTCTATCCTTGAATCTATAGAGTCTGTCACATTCCTCATGGTGGTTAGATCTTCTTTTGTACCGGATACTTTAATTAGAAAACATTGTATTTTTTGCATTTTGATACTGATTAAAAGAAAATACACAATACAAATTTTATTTTTAGCATGCCTTTGTTATTTGTTAATATTTTTATTAGTTAATCTCTTATAAAAAGTTTTAACATTGCAGCAAAATTAACAAATGCTTTAATGAAGTGTGTACTGGTAACAATGTAAATTACTTGTTAAATATTGTAATTAGGGAGAATATTTCAATTCTTACAGGACACATATATATCCTCAAACTTGTCTCCAACAATATTCTGAAGCTCGTTTAATTTTGGCATCATTTCATTGTTTACTTTATCAACAATGTCTCTGGTACGATCATTGACTCGCTTAGAAACTTTATTTGTATCATCTAGAGAATTCTTCACTTCAGCTATACGATCAACAACATCTGAAACATAACATACATTCAGTGATTTATTCAGGTACAATTACATGTAATAAATATTTCTGCGGAAAATAAGATGTAACTATGACTATCACTGGAGGTGATAAATACAGCTATAATTCCTAAAACTAGAGTCTCCAGAAGCAGGTGCCACGCTCTTATTACCAAATGCAAAATCACTATTGTAAGCTAGTTTGTGAAGTTTTTACAATGGTAAATGTCATATTTGAATTACTCAATATCAAAGATTGGTAATGAATTTTGTTTTGTCCTAGTATAAGCTTAATACATCTATAAAAAAAAAAATGTATCACAAATTTGATAAATTATTAAAAAATCCAAAATTGTTTGTGGGATTCAAACCCAAAAAGTTGATAAGCCAATGAGTGAGTCCGCAACCTTTTATTATACTACTATGGAGTTTGTTGCCCTTGTCGAAAAAGAAAATCACTTTACTCCGGTAATTTTAAATCTAAAACATAAATCATCTAAAGCACTGGTAGACAAAGGATAGTATCAGACATAGTAATATAAACTAAATTGTCACAGTGAAATAATATGCCATGCTTGGAAATTCAAGGTCCATAATTGAACATAAGACTCAGCAAGTTAATTGAGAGGGCTATAAATTATGATAAAGCCCCTTACTTCTGGGTAGTTGATCTATATCATTCTTTATGTCTGTGTGTCTGTCTATACTGTCTAACGATATCTCATCAACATAATCCAGTCTTCTGTTCACATCATTGAAAGCTTCATCCAGATCTGTAAAAACAATTCATATCATCAAACTTAAACCAGCAAAAAGAAGTATTGCAAACACATCACTTTAACTACAGTACTTATGAATGGTTGAAACCTATAATTTACACTTCAGTTATAATTAACAGTAAGTAATAAAATGCGATGTTATTTAAAACATTAATAAATTTAGTACTGAAAATCTTAAAGCAATGTTAAGACTTAAATCTAATCTAACTAGTACACACTGTATAAAGTTAATTTCTATAAAAATTGCCACTTTAACATATATACTTTAACATATATATATATCATAATAATATACATATAATCACCTTTAACACCAATGTTCATAGTCTTGTTAGCTTGATCCAACAGTTCTTTGCTTATTCTCAGTGAGGCCTTCACCGACTTTTTCAAATCTTCAAAGTCAGTCTGAAAACAGAAATGAAACTAACATTACATGGTATATCATGTGTATGTGATATTTTTGTTTAATCTCACAAAAGTTTGCTATGATTTATATAAAGAGGACTTGTCATGTGCTGTTATGACCTGTTGACATGATAGGATGGTGTATACAAGATGTCAGTGAATAAATGAAGGTGCTATGAGAAATGGTCATTATGAGTAAAGAAATACCAGGTACTCTCCTCTAAAGCATTTGCTGGGAAAATACATTGACATGAATTCAAGTATGGTACTCTTTTTATAAATCTTTTAAAACCCTCAAGTTTTACAAAATCTTACATTCTTGATCTATCAAATCCTAATTCCAAGGAAATCCCTAAGAACTCTATTGATGTACCAAAATATTAAGAATCGAGAACTTTTTTATGATATATTACCATTCCAGTAGCATTTTCAGCATCTGCTAAAGCTTTTCTAGCAGCTACAGCAGCCTCTTCTATTGCCCTTGCTATGTTGTCAAACACTCTTGCTGCCTTCAAAGGCTCTGCTGCAGCATTCCGTGTACTTTCAAACATTCTAAACAAATATAAACATCAGTTATGTGGATTTCAAGAAACTAATAGTTTGGTTTTTTGAATGAGCATGGATGAGTATCTCATTAAAAATGTAACTTTTTTAATTAATTACCACCCATTAAGTCATAAGATTTATGAAAAACATTGCTTTTAAGCAAAAAATAGAATCATGTTTTTTCATAAGACTATTTGATTATAAAACTGAATACAAAGATAAATGAGAAACACACCTAACTCAGTCATAAATAACCTACCATATTTACTAGAAAGTAAATGACGATGTATCATAATTTAAAGAAATAAATTACACAATAGCAGAAGGGTAAAGTATAATAAGCATATCTACTACAAAATACAGAGTGAAGTTAAATCTTACTTTTCCAGATCTTGAGCATATTTTGAGAGGTTATTAGCATGAGCCCAGGCTTGTTCTACCAGCTTATCTTTACCAGGTATATTCTCTCTCAAGGCATTCTCCTTCTTCTCCAGTGGGTCAATGGCAGCTTCTAGAGTACTTGCTCTCTCCTCTAATGTCTGATACAACAATTAATAATCAAATATTAATAACAATATACTACCCTAGAAATGTTGATCAGGGTTTAAAGGTTGTTTTAGAAGAAGATTTTATTAAAATGTCATAGTATTTTGGGTTGATTTTAACTGGCGTTTTCTATAATGATGATTGATGATGGCCTAGTGGTTAAGATGTCTGCCTTCAATGCAGGGATCATTGGTCTGAGCCCTTATCGGGTCATGACCATGTTACTTCAAACGACACCAGTACTGGTTGGTTCCAGGAAGCAGACTCGAAAGTGATTAATATAAGCTGCAAGAACTTGTTTTGCACACAAGCTTAAATACATTATGTTTAAAATGAAACTTGAAAACAATCTACAGCCAGGACCTGTATTCAGACTTTCTTTAGTGACAATGGTGTCTACTTACAGCAATATTTTCATTGGTTCTATTTAAAGCCACTTTAGCATCTGCAAGAAGTTTATCAGCGTCACCTACACCTAAATCTTTGCTCAGCTCCTTTGACTCCTTCACTTGATCCTGTATGAAGTTTGAAATATTATATCATTATTTTATAAGATAATTCATTCAAATTATTTATGCCTGCAAATAGCAAGCTTTATTTTCGAAACATAACAAAGATACACTACCACTATCTGAACCACTAATTACATAACTGAATTTCAACTTAATTCAAAGTTTAATGAACATTTTACTTTATTATAACATTTATTTACATTTTTCAAAATGGAATAATAAGCAACAGAATACTTTAAATTGTTTATTACTAAAGGGAGCCAAATGATAGTCATTTAAGTATAAAGTTTTACCTTAATGTTCTTTATTGCCTCTCTTAAAGCAGGTAGTTTCTGGATTGTGTCTTCTGAGTTCTTAACACTTGTTTGTATATAGTCTAGTAAATCATCCAGTGAATTCATCAAATTATCAATTTTAGCCTCAACTTCACTTGTATTTGTCAATCTCATTTCTAATGCATGCACTCTGTCAGACAACTTCTCTGCCAAACTGAAAAAAAAAAAAACCAAATTTCATCACTGTAGCCATTCAAACAGTGGACAATACCTTACATTTGTAAAGATAAAAATTCTAGGTACAAGTATGAAATATTCCCAAATATGGTTTGATAACAAAGATTTAAGAAATAAAGTTTTTACAACAGTAACTCATGTTCCATGTTTGCGGTGACATAATGTGACAATGAAAATATTACTTAACTAATGCTTCATGTTTGCCCTGACAAATGGTTACATAGAATTATCACTTACATATTTTCACTATTTGTCTTGACAAAAGTTTACATAGAAACACTGAAGTGTTTGCCATGACAAAAAGATAATGCTTTCTGTTTGCCCTTTAACAAAAATTTACATGAAATTACTATTTCACTCATGTTGTTTACCTTGAAAAAGATTTACATAAAAATATCTCTTTTTAATGCTCCTTGTTTGCCCTGACAAAGGTTTACATAAAAATATCAATATTTCTGCACCCTGCTTGCCCAGCAAATATGACTATTTATTCTCCTTGTTTGCTCTGACAAAGGTTTACATAAAAATACTGCTATTAATTTTATGCTCCTTGTTTGCCCTGACAAAGGTTTACATAAAACTATCAATATTTATGCTCCTTGTTTGCCCTGATAAATGATGTCATGTAAACAATGCCTACTCATGCTCCTCTCGTGCTCTGTTTTTCTCATCTGTAAAGTCTCTTTGTTTCATCTCTCTCAGTATTTTTCTGGCTTCAGCAAGTGCAGAGGTGACATTTATACCACTACGGTTGTGGAAAGAGTTGGCAACAGTCTCCTCCAAGTCATCAACAAGATCTAAACAAAAAAATGTCAATGTCTTAATCTCATTGGTTTATTTCATTTTTTTCTGCTGTGTTGCAAGATAAATGAATGAACCTTTTAAGAAATACTTGTCTCCTCTTTACAATCTATAATGTAAACTGAAATTTATACTGATATCACTCGCAGACTATTTTATCTTTAACTTTTAACAAGTTTACATAAATAAAAAACTGAATAAAGAAGTAAATGATTATTTACTGAAGATAAAGACAAGAAGTCTCTTATCTATCAGTCTCTTTCATTAATGTTTAAATTCAATGAATAACCCATAACCTGCTGAATGCCTTAAATAGACTTGTCCAGCTTCCATTTTTGGAAGTTTCCATTATCAAAAATGTTGATATCAAGATGAAAATTTTAAGTGATCAGCAAACAGTAAAGAGCCTTAGAACCAGACTGCATGGATGTGCTTTACTCATGGCAAAGTCTAATCACTTTGGTTTCAATAGGTTAAGGGTCTATTTGCATTCACCTGCTGAACTTAGATAATAAACTTGAGATTTTTACAGCAAAATACTAAAATTGGAGAGCCACAATTTTCAAATTGCCACTATTGTTTGTGAGAATTGATTGTTAACTTAATGTCTAGCGTAATAAAATTGTTACCTTCAACATTTTGTCTTAGCAAGTCAATTGTGTCCTCCATCTCATTGCCTTTCTGTAACAATTTTCTGCCTTCTCTTTTATTCTTTTTGCTATTTTTCAATGTTTCCTCAGACTAAAAGAAACATATTCATATTAACTTAATACCTAATTAATACAATGTTACACTCCATCCATTTTCATATCATTACCAAGTGTTATTTCCTTTGTTTTATATGTTAATATATATTGTCAAATATGACATGCATTAAGGTCATGAAATATTTTTCAAAAATACAACTTGAAATAGGACTGTATGAACAAAATGTAGATAATAATAATGTTAACAAAATTATGTTCCTTGTAGCAATATCCATATTCTTTGTGTTAAAAATATACATTAACAACTGAAAAGTAACTAACTGTAAAGTACTTTTTCTTTTTTGGTTGGTTTCACATTGAGGTCATATGGCGACTTTCCTGGTGTCCTCAAGTGCATTATTTCTGGCACTTACAGACACCCGAGAAGAACCACTGATATTAAGTAAGCTAGCTTGATAGCTTCCTTACAGGAAAGAATCCAAAGTCCCTGTTGGGATTCGATCCCCCTGTGGTGAGGGGCAAGTGGTTTGAACTCAACGACCTTAACCACTCAGCCATGGACGCCCCACTTTTTCATGTGTTTTATTACGAAATGTGTTAACTTAGTAAATGCTTACTCTTCTCTCAGTATTGTCAACCAGTATTTCCAAATCATCAATCTGGTCACGTATATTGTTTACCTCCGCATAACGTAAATGACGTAATTTATCCTAATAGATAAATACAAGTGCATACTGTATGATTATATTGAATAAATATACCTTATGATATTTTCTGGTGAACTTGTGAATATACCAGCATTTTTATACATATATCTATCAAATAATACATGCCCATTTAAATTATACATTTAACAAGAATATATTGAATAAGTAAATAAGACATCATATAATGCAGATGCTGGAATGAATAATCAACAAAACTGGCATACTTATTACTATAAAATTGGGCACACCCTCAAATTAAAGCATCAAAATTTGCTAAAAATTTCAGATTAATGTTATATGCACAAATTCACCATATCATTATCAATAGTAATGTTATTAGTTCCATTACTAAAGGTATCACACCTTTATTGGGTTTTAGTGAATAATCATTAATACATGTTTATATGATATAAATAAAATTTTAACCTTTTTAAGAGTGGAACTGTATTGTAATGGTACTCAGGTTTTCTTTTAGAGTTTGCTATTGTTACAAATTTAATATTTTAGGGATATTTTTGCATCAATATCACAAAAGAACCTTGTTAATAATAATATTATTGCAACTTCACCATAAACATGCACCAAAATGAAATTCAAATTGAGACCAATACATACAGTTCACAATATCTTTTGGTATCTACCTTTGTTAGATTTCTTCAATTACTTATGTCATGTCAATTAATACATGGTAATAATAATATATCTAAATTATCACATCTCTTCACTAACTACCAATGTATTTAACATGCAGTTTTAAGTTATCATGGTACATATGAGTAGGTAAACTGTACAAATGTATATGTTTTATCAATATTAATATAATATTCTCCCATAAATATGATGACATTAACCAATATATAACTCATGCTTTAATCATAATTAATTTTTTCATAACCATAATATTTATCTTTTCACTAAAACACAATTAAATCTTGTCAAATGCTGTGAAACACTATTGCACTTGAAGAGTAAAGCTACTGTAGTCAACAGCAGTTTATTTATCAATTTTAAGTAACAGAAAAGAAAGTTTACACCCATAAATTCACAAATTCTGAAAATGTATACAATCTACCAAACAAATTTAAAAAACAGAAAAACAAATCTTTTAGTTTAAATTATTTGATTGATGTTCAATGAAAACTCGTGCTTGATAATTACAATGGCTTCACAGCATTTTATAATTGATTAGGTGACTCTTTGCCATGACTTACTGAGAGGATTCTTGTTTCATTGCGAATTAAATTTAATTTCCTGTATGGAGCAGAAATGTTAACATTTGAGGGGTCAAAGGGCAAAGTTGAAATCATATTGTCAAGGTCATCCATGTCAGACATCAGCTCTCTGGTACAACCTTCATCACATGCTGAAATAGACAAACATACACACATAATTTATACATTTTAAACTGTCTTTTTAGTACTGTTCAAGGTAAAAATTAGAAAGATCAATATAATATTGTAACTAATGAAAGATAATAAAATAATGAAATGCTTATATATTTCACACTTCCAAGGTCAAATGTCAATATAACCAACATTTGACATCACCATTGTAACATTGATACAAATAACTACATGAATTGCCATGTTATAACGCTAAAGTTTCATTTGTAATTATTAGAAAAGTTGCTTTAAACAAAGTAATTAAGAGATTACAGTAATACTTTAATAAATTATTGTATAATTCAATAAATTTACTTAAATTTTTGTAACTCAATTTTCCTTTAAATAATGCTTGTAAATATCTATAATTGAACTATAGAAACAAATTACAAAATGCATATCAAAACAGTGATAGACTTAATTCATATAATGAAATCAAATAATGGGAAAAGTGAGCTATATGTTTAACGATAATAATGAATACATGTACATACAAATACAAGATCCTTTAACGACAGCGTATCTTGGCTGACATTGATCACATTTGTCTCCCTTGATGCCAGGCAGGCACTGACATTTCCCCGTGTAGTCACACTGAGTCAGTACAGAGCCCTCTGGGTTACAGTTACATGGCTTACATGAACCACCAGGGGTCGATGGTTCACCATAATAACCTTCATCACAACTGAAATATTACCTATCCTGTCAATTTGTTATCAACATTTAAAACAACATTAAGGAATTTTAACAAAATATTATTACACAAAACATTTGTATCTTAATAAATTAATCACAATATGATTCAAAGCAATCTATCTTTGGCCATTATTTGTAAACTGGAAACTGATAAATGGTTACTAATACAAAAACTTCTATTAAGATCAAATGATCGTAAGACTGGAGAGTGATAAGTTTGGGTACATACAATTCACATCTGTCCCCGGTATAGCCCGGTTCACATGCTGTACAGATCAAATCATTATCTATTCTCTCACATGTTGGGCTGAAACTGAAAATAGAACAAATATGAAAATGTAATAAATTAAACTGTTAAACAATAACAAATATACCAAAATGACTCAAACCTTATAAACCAAGGACTTAGATGTCAAAATTCAATAATATAATGAGCCTGTCTTTAATTCTTACCTGTTAATTATAAGTAAAGATTTAACATTGGTAATTAGTACCTTCAAAACTGTTTTCTATTTCCTCGCATTTCACAGAGTTACAGAGCATGTTAATTAAACTCTGAACTATATTCAGTCACGGTCCCCCGTTGGGCACCAAATGTCAAAGGGTGAGAAATTAGCTACTTTTTTTCATTTTTTTTTCAGCATCAAGTAGCACTTACTTTTCATATTTTTGTAACTACATATTGATGCATATAACATTCATTATTGATCAAGTATAACAAGGTATAAAGCATAATTTACTTGTTGGATATGATCTCAAGAGGGCAAGCACATCTTTGACATGCAGTCGGGGAACCAGTAGTCGGATCACCATAGTAACCTTCTGCACAATGTTCACATTTGTCACCTTTAGTGTTGTGTTGACAATTCTGTAATATAATCATAATAAAACTTTATTACAAAAAGTTATAAAAACCACCAAACTCTAAGAAATCACATTTGAAAAGTATGTCAATCTATAAACATTTGACAATCTGATTTGTCCTTCTTCTTCTGCTTCTTATATAGTGAATAATGACTTTCCATTCATAATACTTTATTTAGTGTATTTTTTATCGGTAAAGATTGAAAATAAATAATTTTTCTTTCAAACAAACTTACATAACAGACTCCTGTCTCAGGATCACAGCTGTCTCCATGGCTATTACATTCACAAGGTTTAACTACACCAATTATGTCAACAAGATCTGTAAAATCTATTGGGCCAACATTTGGTACTCTATAGTAGCCATCTGCAGGGTCCTACAAAATATTTAATTATTCTAACTTCTCTTTTCAGAAACAAAAACAAAATAAAGGTTTAAAGCAGCAGAAATCATTAAGTAGCAAAATCATGAAGAATTATTTTTGTATAGAGCTACTGACACAGTCACTAAATCATTTAAATAAACGAAGAAACATAACATTGACTTACCATGTCCTATTCTACAGTTAATTTAATATAGTCAAATTAAGAGTAAGCAAAAACATTAACCATTATTAAAATTTATAACCAGTTTTTTGGTTCAAAAACTGACTGAATTCATTTAAATGGATAAACGTGACACCCCTAATTAGGAGCATCATGGAATTTTTAAGCAATAGTTTTTTTTCAGTATTTCATTTAGTCTTTGAAAACATTTAATGGCAGGAATTCATATAATATATTTTTTCTTTCACATGATAACAAGTTAAGAGTTAAAATAAGATATATACCTGACAGGACAGACCACTATATTCTGGAGAACATTGACATTGTTCTATTCCTAAAGCAGGTGGTCCAAGAAGTAAGGCATTGTCCACTGCTACATCATACTCAATGTCTCTTATCCTACAAAAAACAGTTCCATTTAAAACCTTATTCAATATCTTTTTTTTTCTTTTTTTTTCAATATCTTTTTTCTATTTCTATCTTAAAAGCTTTCATATGTCAACATTATTAATTATTTCTCTAAATTATAAACACACTTGGACTGTAACTTTCAAATTTCTGTTCAACATGTTCAATGTAAGGAGATAGTGTAATAATTTTTTCATTCATTTATTCTCATTTTATAATTTGCAGGTGATTAAACTGGGGGTACTAAAATACAGCACCTTGGGTCTTCTAAGATGGGAAGATGCCTGACATATGCAGTGTGTGTATGGCAGTGAAAAAAGATATAGATAACTATGTTAAGAAGAACTTACTTTGCACTAATAGCTGTATTATCCCATGTGGCTCGGACTAAAACTTCAGTGACATTTTGTAGTATCACCATCATCTTACTGCGGCTCACATCCCCATTACTTTGTGTCCTCCAATAATGTTCATGCAGTCGGATCTTGAACTTCAGATTCTCATCTGCCCGCCATATCAAATCTGATCTAAAACAATTACAAAGATTTTTTTTCTTTAATAATGTTTACATTATACATTGTAATTAATTTCCTGTAACAGTATCACAGAGGCAGATCATCTGTTGAAAGGCACCAGGTTGTAAATAATGTAAAACACTTAGTCCTAAGCTTAGTTGATATATATTTTAATACTGTCAACATAATTTAGCTACTACACAAATTTTACTTACTTATACATGAGAGGAATACCATATCCAGACAGAACAACAAGTGGTTTGGTACGCAGGCCTTCTAAATCTAGCAGATCAGTCCCAATAGAGCCATGCTCCACGGTAAATGTTAAATACCCATTGTAAGATAATGTCTGAAAAACATAAAAACAAATTGAATCTGGAGTTTGATGAAAATTGTATTGCTCTTGAATTATAGTAATTTTGACTCCATTCATGGATATCACTTAAAAGTTATTAACTGTTTAAATTGTGTATATATAGTTTGGCAGCTCTGTACTTATCAAATAGAATTCATTATCACATAAACCGCGGCGCAGGAGTGTAATAATGCCATTTAATAAAAACGATATTACACTAGTGTAATAACACTTTGACGTGACGTCATTTGCGCTATATAGAAACATAGCGTTAAAGCGCGCTAATGTTACACTATAGGTGCGTCGTTGAAAAATTACTCATTTTTACAGTTTATTGTTCTTTTTTTATATTATGTGATAAATAGAATATTATATTCGTGTAGATTCAATACTAAATTTATTGAACTCGTTGAATAAAACAATATTATGCTCGCCAGAGGCTCGCATAATATGATTTTATTCAACTCGTTCAATAAATTTAGTATTAAACTACACTCATTAAATATCCTCTATGTATGAGTACAATGTATAATAACCTCATATTATCAACATCTGTGTAAATATTATATTTTTAATTTTCAACATACCCTGTCACCTGTCACATTAGGCAACCTCCAGTAGACTGGATCACCTTGAGTATTAGTTTGTAAACCAGTCCATGACACATTGGTTGGTATAACAAAGAAACCATTTTGTTGCTTATCCACCAAAGTGTTAGCTCGACTGCTAAATGATACTGTCATATCGGGTACTGTTGACTGTAAACATAAAGTTAATCATCTGCTTTAGATAGAAAAAGTATTACATTTAAAACATTGGTGATAATAAATATATCATCATATGAGGGCTTAATAACAAATATGTATACCTGTACAACAGTTCAATACATTCTTAAAGTTTCTTTTTATTTGTACATGTAAAGATTGAAAATTAAAATGTTCAGGTTACATACTGTTTTGTATATTTTACATAATTTAATATCTAACTAAACAAAACTAAATGAATAAATTAATATCCCTCAATGATTGTTAAACATTCATATGGAAGTTGGGTCTGTCTGTTAAATCAAAGAACACTTAAAGTGGTATTTGCTAATTGATGGTAAAAGAAATTTTGCAAATTAAATCAACACAGGGTTATAAAAAAGTTTTTAATGTATATTTACAGTTCTAGTTATATTACTGGTCTTAAATATGTTAACATGGAAACCTCCATACAAAATGATTATACCCATTGCCAACAGAGCAAAAAAAAGTAAAATATTGTTCATCTATGTGGCAAATGAGTATACATGAATATTTTTTTTGGAAACTGTAACAAGATATGAAATGAATAACACTGTAATAAATGTTCACCTTGGTCCAGACATACTGAGCTTGTTCACAAGACCTGGCTCTATTAAAACAGAAACATTCTGTACAGCCATCAGGGTTGGATTCATCTATAGAAAATGAGTTGTCAGCACATTGTGTACATGTTCTTCCTTTAGTGTTTGACTAAAATATAAAATAATTCAGCTTAATACTCAAACAGTTTGAAGTCTAGAGTAAAACCAACTCTTTAACAGAAACTTAAGACAATAATAATTTACTATCAGATCTGTTATTATATCACAAATACAACCAGACAAAGAGAAAATCTGTATTGTATACAAGTGTGATATGCCATGATGTTGCTGACATGTCAATAGATTATGACTAAAAATACATTTTGAACAGTACAATATATAATAACAAATCTTAATATATTACCTATATTTCACAATCATAGATTTTACTAAAGCAAATCACACTCTGACCATCAGTGCCTTGCAAGATTCTGACCTAATAAAATCCACTAGTCAAATCAAGACTCTTATAATAACCTTATTCTACTCTTATAATAACCTTATTCTATTTACTAATTTGTTGAAAGTATAAAAAAATAAATTTATAACATATGTGAATGTTGTTGAAATGAAATAGGAAGGAGTAATAACAATAAAATTCATCAAACCAATGATTATAATGAATCCTTTTCAAACACAACATTTGTTTTTTGTTGATATACTTATTGCATATTTACATTATAAACTGATGATATCCTTTGTTATAGATTACCTTGCAATCACACTGGCCATTAGGTTCCTCACAGCTACATGCTCCCTGAGAGTTACAGCTACCTGGCTCCGTCCCCTCCACAGAACACAGACATAGATTACAGTCTGGGAAGTTATAGAAGCCAAACAGACAACTGTCACAATGAATACCACTGTAGTCCAGTCTACAAGCACACTGACCAGTCAGGGGATCACAGTTATTGTCAAATGCACCCATTGGATCACAATCACAGGGCTATAAAAGAAGAATAAAACTTTTAATGTGTGTTATGAAATTTAAACCTGACAGATTATCATTTATCTGTACAGTGTATTAGTTTCAACAGACAAACTAAATACAATGTTCTTAACACATTTATACAAGCAAAATATGCATATATAATTGTTACATAATCTTTGCCATTACAAAATTGGAACAGTTATAAAAGACAATAAAACCTTTTTCACTGTAAAGATAAACTTTTAAAGTTCAGCAATAATCAAACAAAGCTTTGGCTTGACTTAAAATGAGTGCACATCATTAAACTGGGGCATTTACACCAATACAAAGCACAGGGCTTAAAAAATCCAGATGAAGGGCGATCCCTCACAAGCATTAACCACAACAAAATAACATGAAAATTGCAGACTTGATTTGAGTCAATTGATTGACTCTACACAATGAGGGGAAAGAAAAATGCAACAATTTCCCCCATACCCCTAGCAAACTTTAACACAAGAAAAACTAGTTGACCTGTATTATTTACAAACCTTCCTAGGGGTTATAACCCCAGTAAGTGGGGCTATTTTCACTGCTCAAAAAATTTTTTTTCTCTCCTCATTTGGGAGGGCAAACACATTTTCCACTCTCAAAATACAGATTTTTGGGCCCGGTATATTTTAAAATGGGTTTTCCAAAACTGAAAAAATTAAAATTTAAACAACAAAATACCAAAGTCCTTTTAGTATTTTGGTACATTAATTTTGCAGAGAAATTTTTAAAAGGGATTTTAAAAGATTTTTAGAAAAACAGTTTCATTTACCAATCTGTGGGGAAAAGCAATAAATCTGGGTTCAATGCAAGCAAGGGAAATTTTTTTTTAAAATTAAACATTTAAACTGGGGTGTTTTAAAATTAAAGTAAACATTTTCCCCCTTTGGGAAAAAGAGCCCCTAATTCCCCTTTTTGACACTTTATCAATGCAAATTGGCTACTCCACGTTTAACATCTACACTGTCCCGTTTAAAAATGCACCTGGGAAAAGTTTCTTTTTGCCTTTTGGGGGTCAAAAATCCAAAAATGGTTTTACATCCTTGCCAAAATTCTAAACCCCAAAAATTCTTTTTAAAAAATATTTTTGTTAAATTCCCCAAAGTAAATAAATTTTTAAAACTCCCGTTTTTTTATGGGTCTTTTTAAAAATTTTAACAAAAGTTAAAAAACAAATCTCAAAAAAAATAACATCCACGAAACCCTTTTAAAAAAATCATTAGTGTTTGTGGATGGGGATTAGTAAAAAGAAATTTTTGTACTTTTTGGTGAAAAAATAAGTGTTTTTCCCTTTTTCCAAACAAATTTTTATGCCCGTATGTTTTTCCTTTTAAAACCCTGCTTTTTTCATACCAAGAAACATTATTTTATTTCAAAACATGAAAAACTTTGATTTTTTAAAACAAAATGCTATTAGTTACTATGAAACTTTTTTTTAGGTTTTTAAATTTTTAATTTTCATTTTTTACAGTTTTAAATAAAAAACAAATTTAGTTTTAAGATCTCAAAAACAAGGAAAATATCAATTACATCATAGGGATGATTAAAGTATAACAAGAGCATGAAAGTAGATAAATTATACATCAATAAAGTTTATTTCATGGTTTTAAAACATGTGGGAACAAAAAAAAACAAACATTAAATAAACACAAAATGATTATTTTGATTTAACCCTTTTAGCTCAAAAAGGGGACAATCAATTTTAATAATTTTCCCAAAAGACTGACACACTGGATGTTCATGATATACCAAACACCTTAGGTGGCCAGGCTCATTGCTTGCTCTTAAAGAGAGCTTTAATGAACACAGAAAAGTTTACCAATCTGACAAGGTAAAACATTTTGCACAATTATGCCTTTGTATAGAGTATAGAAGAAAATAAATAGCGTTCTAAATTATTGTGTTCTAAGGGTATTTCATGAAAATAAATTTCTAAATGAAATCTTCATATAGCTGCCCCGTCATTGGAACAAGAAGATTTATTTGGACAATAATGAGAAAAGTACATTCAAGAATTATAATAATTTAGTTTGGTATTCAAAGCATTTATTTTTCCTAAATTTTAATTTCTAGCTCTAAAAGTGACTCTTCAAGAGAATGATGAAAGGATGCCATTGGCCAAATTTTAAGTACACATATTCTTGACTGACAAATTTCACAAGAAAGAAGACTAATGTTTTACTGACCTGACCAACTTGTGTTTGTAAAAGTTCATTTTTATTATCTATAATTGACTAAAACCTACTCAATGATACATGGCATAAAAGAACTAGAAATGTGTCCATAGGACACGGATGCCCCCACACGCCACTGTTCTGTCAATCTTATGACTCTAGGTCAAATATTTTTTGGACTACATGTGCCACAAGTTGAAAACTAAAAATCAACAAAGGGCCATAATTCTGTTAAATTTGGTCGCAGCAAAAATTCCTTCCTTTACTACCATCTACACATTAAGGTTGTTAATCCCTGGAAGTTTAAGCAAAATCTGCCATCCGGTTTAAGAGGAGTTGCATTCACAAAATTTCTACATAGTATATAGTGAAAAAATTAACAAAGGGCCATAATTCTGTAAAATTTGGTCGCAGCGAAAATTCCTTCCTTTACTACCATCTACACATTAAGGTTGTTCATCCCTGTAAGTTTAAGCAAAATCTGCCATCCGGTTTAAGAGGAGTTGTGTTCACAAAATTTCTACATAGTATCTAGTGAAAAAATCAACAAAGGGCCATAATTCTGTTAAATTTGGTTGCAGCAAAAATTCCTTCCTTTACTACCATCTACACATTAAGGTTGTTCATCCCTGTAAGTTTAAGCAAAATCTGCTATCCGGTTTAAGAGGAGTTGCGTTCACAAGATTTCGGGACGGACGGACAGACGGACGGACGGACAAGTGCAACGCTATATGCTCCCACATTGTGGGGGCATAAAAATAGTTTCTAACCACTTTTTGAAGACAATTTAGTAAAGAGTTTTATCTTTTCCTATCAAACAATGGAAGAAAAAAAAGTTTATAACTAAGATGATAATGAATACGCAATACAAAGCTGATAATCTACAGCTAAAATGTATACACATTTCTGCACTAAAAAGCATTAGATAAAACAACAAATATCATAATTTTCTTATTAAAAGATCTCTAAAAGCAACACTGTTTTGAAAGGTTTGGATATATATATATAACTGAAAGCCTGGTACATTTACGGGGTATATGTTTCCCGAACCTTGCAAGTGTCACAATATGGTTCCTTCACAAAAGGGAGACAATTACATCTCCCAGTAAGCACATCACAAATTTCAGTGTTGTTTGCTCCCCTGCTATAACACCTACAATCTAGGTAAAGTAACACATTTCATGTTAAAATAACATCAAAATATTGCAATCTTGCATATAACCAGATCATTTTCAAGTTTTAAGTTGTTATTGAAACACATAAATCTGACTATTATTTCTATTAAACAATAGCAGTAACAACTGATATAAACCTTATTATGTTTTATTTTTTAGATTAAATGGACAATTTGTCAACAACAAAACAACATTTTTATGTAATCAGAAACGACTGACAGAACTTTTAAAAAAAAAAAACTAACAACGAATTTCGTAATGAACAATGCAGACGAGTATCAGATCTCACCATAACATCCACCCACTGAGTAACCATAGTAACCCTCCTGGCAACGGTCACAGGATCGACCCGAAACCCCCGGGCGACAAACACACTGCCCAGTGATAGGGTGGCAACGATAATCTAGGGAGCCTACCCGGGAACAGTTACATTCTTTACACCCACTCATTATATCTCCGTAACCTGCCTACAGAAATGTCATACAATATGTAACATACAACATCTAATTTCAACGGTATCTTTTTTCATTTTCTTTTTATCTAAATGGCCATTCCTTAAGACAAAATATCTTGTTCTAACAAAAAGTTGTATCTTCTTTTTTTTTAAATACACATGTAAGAAAATAACACTAAACTGAATTGACCATGATGAACTGATTCACCATTTAAAAGAATATAAGTTATGCTAACAAAAATGTGATTAACTTCCAGAAAGCAGTTTTAACAAAATGTATAAAAATTCGGCTGCACTGTGTTTGTCATTGCAACATTGGTTGTTTTTTTAGAGAAAGCATTGTGATCATGTGATTACATTGAGTGAATTTATCTTGGTGCAGTTGAAAATAGCTGTGTGAAAGCTGAAACAGTCAATAAGCCATGTAGTTATAGAACTCTAAATAGTAAAACAAACATATTAAACGATGTGAAATCTAAATTATTCTGTTAGTGTGTGAAGGATTGAGAATAAAACAGATGTTAACAAAAAATGTAAGACATTCAACAGTCAAAATAATATATTATATAAAGATGAAGCTAGGCCAATGCTGACATGATCATAAAGTTTAATACAAATACATTTTAAATTACGTATATATAACCCATTTCATTAGAACTTCAACAAACATGCCCAGGAATAATGTGAGCTGTACAACATAGCCCTGTTAGACTGTCATAAAACATGGAATGAAGGAATAAAATTTTAAAGAATGTTTGATTCACATTATCACATGACTTAAATACATGATCTTTATCAATTCACTAATAGTCTATTAATGATGTTTATTCTGTATATGACATGATGGTCATATAACATTAATATATGAAGAATAGAAATACAAAACATCATAAGATGTCATGTGATAACAGTAAATACAACATTCTATATGCAACAATGAAACAAGAGAAAAAAAAAAGGGAAACAAACTTTAATTTATTCTTTCCCCAAAACCCAAAACCCAAAATAAATTTAAACCCCAAAGCCCTTTTCAAAATATTTCATTCATTTTAAATCATGTGTTTTCCCCTAAAAACCAAAAACCAAAAACCAAACAAAAAATTACTTTATAACATTTTTAGTTTACAGAAAAAATTATTTCTATAAAAATTTCCCTTTTTCAAAATTTATTTTTTAATTTTTAAATGACGGGCACAATATTTTGAAGATGCCCAAAACTAATTTAAAATTTAATGCAAAATCATCCCCAGTTGGAATTTATAATAACTACCCCCTTTTAAAATTTAGTGAAACATTTAAAAAATAACATGTTTTAAAAACCAAAAATGACACGTCACACTTTGTTACATAATAATGTTTTACACTTTAACACAAAATCATTTACAACATTAAGGAATCATGCCTGAAAATAACAATATAAAGCTTTGCAGACTAGAAATCTGGTCCTTAAAATATTTTAAATGATATAAAACTTTAAATGTGAACCTCTTCTTATGCTCTTCCTACTTTATATCATTTTGATTTCAATTTAATTATAATCTAATAAATTACTATAGAGAAATGATATAAAATGAAAACATTTTAGTAAAATACACAAGACTACTCTCTCAGAACTGATTCAGGTATTGTTTTTTTATTGACTATATAAAATTGAAAATGTTTTATTTGTCCAGCAATAATCTCATCTATCCCTAATCTGCAGAAGCTTTGTTATACACACACATATATATATATATATCAAATGATTTTGGACATACCTATCTGTTCATTATGTCCTTTGAGGGCAGCAAGCATTGCGTAACGATTAGAAAGCTAAGTCAATAAATATCAACCTAAGCTTCTCTATATTAATCAACAGGCAAATTGTATCTCTCTAAATACTGCATTTAAATCACTGTCAAGCACCTATACACTTACTTTATCATTAATCTACATCAAAATTTCACAAAATATTCATTAATAATACGATATACCATTAAATTTTGTAATTTTTATCCAAGTACATGACATAGTACTAAACAAAGAAAAATAATTTTTATGTCAGCAATATTTTACATGTGGCCGAAAAGTATATCAAACCTGACAAAAATCTGAGTATAAGATTTGTTTTTCTAGTGTTTTATCTTTTAAATGTGACAAAAAATCTTCATTCATTAGAGTGGGTTTGATACACAGTGTTATATTACACAATGATGGCCCCTCTATGAATCTTTAATCATATGTAATTCCTAATTAAACATTACTGCTATTTATGATTCACTATATATGTATAAGATTCTTACCTCACACCTGTCACACTGGCGCCCGGTATAATGTGGCTTACACTCACAGTTGCCTGTATCACGATTACAAGTCATATTCCTCGAACCAAATGGATCACAGTTACATACTGAAACATGTGTTGACAACAATAATACCTGGCTAAATATTCATGTTCATAATTATAACAGTAATTATTGTGTTCCTAATATTTATATAAGAATATGTGCACAGTTGCACAACCAGACAAAAATCTTATAACATAATTGTTCTGAAAATTTATCAATAACAAAATTATATTGCAAATTTATTGCTGCATTAATATAAACATTAAAATTTTTATTTATCTATAAAAGGCATAAACTAATCGTTACATCTAAGTTATGACCTAAAATATAATGTCACAATATCATGGTTCCATGTTTCCTCACATCATATGGCACCAGTACTGCTTAGTTTACCAGGAACTCAGAGTTGTAAGAACTTATTTTGCAATCAAGCTTATATAATATCATTTAACTTATCTTACAATACCTACATGCAATAATGAGACATTTGAAAATTTACTAATTTGTCTTGTTGTCAACTACAAATATAATACAGATAAGTTTCAAAGTTAATTAAACAGACAGGTTCTGTTCATCTTCCAATACAAACATTTCAACATTTGAGCTATAGGAAGACAATGTTACAAATGTACCACTCACATTTGCAATCCCCATTCATGGCTGTGCCATAGTAACCCAGTCTACATCTACCACAAGTGGCTCCCTCTGTATTGTGGAGACACAGTCTACATTCTCCAGTCAGCTGATCACAACTTCCTACCATGCTAGTATCTATGTTACCATTACAGTTACACTCCTGACAGTAGTTGCCTAGGACACCTGGGTAACCAAAATAACCATGGTCACATCTGAAAATATAATCAAGTTGACACAAGGTCTATAATAACTTCTGCTTATAAACTATAAAACATTCTTAAGTTTTTATTTTGGAAGAATTAATTATTATGGAGATATAAAGAGGTATTGGATGTCACAGCTTTCAGATTTCATCACACAAAAACCTTATAGTTAAAGCCTAAACTATGTATCTCTACTTGCCTTTAGAAAAATACTTCAGAAAAGATGTGTTACAATGATAATATCTTAATTTTTTAATTTCTTTTTAAAAAATATGACACAAACAAATGCTTCTATATCATCAAGTTACCTTTCACATCTCTCTCCAGTGTACCCTGTAGCACAGTCAAGACACATGAAAGCATCTGGGTCATTAAATTTAGGGTTGAGTACACATGTTGAGGCAAAGTTGTTGCTGGCTTCATTTAGGGGACAAGCACAAGGTTTGCAGTCATCTGGTGTTCCACGTGTAGGATCACCATAGTAACCGTTTCTACATACATCACAATGTTCACCCTCTGTGTTGTCTGTACACATCTATATAATATATTGGACAATCAATTTTATGCATTGCTCAGATTTTGTGTTAATAAATCAAACAATCAAAAATAATGTTAGATTAATTCAAATGAATTGTTCACACAAAAACTTTAAACAATTTTACATAAATTCTATGAGACAAGATCATGGAGTTTATTCTTTTCATTGTATTAAATTTACATTTGTTTCATGTATTAAAATTAAAACATTTCCTACTAGTAAAAGATTCCATTAATAAACAGTAAGATAGAACTAAGAATGGTACTTACTAAACATCTTCCAGTATAAGGATCACAAGTTTTAGAATGTCCATAGCAAGCACATGGAACACACTGGCCACCATACAAAACATTATCCACTCTTCTCCAGCCTATATCACAACTCTGTAAAATATTATTCACATGTATATATAGATTAGATAGCAGTAATATACGACAAACTTAGCCGAAGTCACTGGATTGATCTGTATAAAGAGTAACACCAAAAAAAAACCGTAAAGTTAGTGTTTCTATCAACTAATCAATGGTAATTCAGTGTTAATAGTTTACCAGGGTAAATTTTCATTATGGGCATGAAATGCTTTCAATATATCAATAATCATTAGTAGTTTCACAGACCTGTTTTCAATATCAAAACTGTGTTTGTTTGGTTGGTTTTATGCCTTTTTTGAACACAGTCAGGTCATACTGCACTGATGTCCAGGCTGGCCTGAGTATACTTATGGCATTACTAGTAGTCTGTTAGTAAAGTCACTAGGAAAAATGTGCCCACCTCACATGAGAGACCAGTGTATCCTCTAGGACATGAACATTTCTCCACACCGGATATACTGATATCACTGGTAGATCCTGCACTTGATGTATCCAATAAAACATCCTTCAACCTGCACAAAGCAATACAGTAAAGTAGAATACATGACAGAGATGGTTAAAATCAAAATCTGAATAACTGTGTTTGAATCAATTGTTATAAAATCTAGAAAAGCTTTAGACACTTTAAGGTCCAATTTTTGCTGTCATATGAGAAATCATGTTGCTGAACTAAGTTTGGTTAAAATATATAAATTTCTGTGAAAATAGAATAATGACACAATGACTGTTTGACCATAGCTCCTCTACAAGAAAATTGGCAATCTCCTTGAATAGATCCATATGTCTATATCTTATGAAGTAATAACCTATAAATACAAGATAAGTCTACTTTTTACACTCCTAATTTAGACCCCATGATATTACAAGAAAATCATTGAAAAAAAGTTTGTTTTTTTAATTCTAATTTAATATTCTTTCTCAAAATAAGTTTTTTTTTCACAGTTCAGTATTTAAATCTAGAGTAAGACAGTAAAATAGACGAAATTATTTATTTCTTTGAACTAAATAACTGTGTTTATAAAGTCAACAATAGTACAGTTGAATATTTTATAAGATGATTTTAAAGAAATATTTACATGACATTATCCTGGGCTGTATGGTGAGTAGCTCTGATCATAACTCTCCTCAGGTCATACAACATGAGCATAAAATCTTTCCTCGACACATGATCCGGACTGACAATTCTCCCATTAGTTGTGTCTAGTCTATACCACTTAGTCTCGTCCAATATAATACTCTTCTTGTTTTCCTGGTTCTCTCTAATGTAGTTCTTTCCATTGGTCACAGTAATGTTACCACCCTACCAACAAAATTGTAGTTGTTAGAGATTAAAAAAATACAGCAAAAACACTAAAATTATGACAAGACTAAGCTAGTTCACTTAAAATCCTTCATTACAACAAGAAGAATGTATAACATCAAAAGACACTCAGGTTCACTAGTTAGTAGCATAATTATTATTGACATTGTTCAGTATGAAGGCTCATTGTGGCATGTGGCAGATAAGGATTTTAGTTTAAGTTTATACAATATTTTTATGTGGTTAAACCTAGTCAACACTTCTTCTCTAAAGTGGTATGTGCTAAAAAAACATATGCATAACTTTGAAAATGCAATGCCAATAGTAAATTCTTATATTCAATACCTTACAATTGTATAGGTACCCACTATTTACATGAAAGTTAAAAAGTTTAAAGTTTACCTGTAGAATAATATCAGCTTCAGCCAGGTGGCTCTGCCAGGGTGCACTTTCGTCCAATGTAAACATCATTGTATAATGCAGTTTACCACCATATGATGTCAGCTAAAGTCACAAAATTATATTATCATTTGTAAAAATGTAATGGACAATTAGAATAATATTTTATTTCAAAATGCATTTGGTAATATGTCTATCAAATATTAAAGTGGAAATGTGTTCAAAAAGAATAAAAGAGGTGGAAAAGGGATAAGTAGAACAGAGGTTTTGAGAGCTGTTTTTGTACTTTGTTTGATAAATTAACATTTGATATGGTGAAATCATCAGTTCATTATGTACATAATAACATATTCCTTCCACATTAAATGTACTAGCTAATAGTTCTTAAAATACAAAATACCAACCCTGTTGCCATAGTATTTGACAGGTGCTTGCCAGTAATAAATAACTTCATCCCTGACTGATCTATCACCATTATCTACAAAGTTTTTTTCTCTTTGCGGGGGAAATTTTTGTTTTCTCCCAAACCCCCCCTCACCAATATTTTGGGAAAATAAAAACTTCATCATTTAAACGTTTATAATTTTTCCAACCACCATTTTGCTTCATGTCCGAAACTAGTAAACATCAAATATTTACAAATCTAAAATTAATTTCTTAAGATCAAAATGTATTTTTGTATTGAATTACTTAAGTAGTGAAAACAACTTAAACATTCAGAGTAATATTTCAGTGGTGATGATACCAAATGGTACTGGAGACAGGCAAACACAGAGATATTATACATATATCACAAGGTAGGGGTTTAATATATCATAAGAAGTTGATAAACACAAAAACAAATGATATATTTCAGTGCATGAGTGTTTATAGTGTCTAAACATTTTTTAATATTTTCATATGAAATGATAAATCTTGAACGTACCTGCACCAGTCCTAGCCCAGCACTCTGGCACACTGTTGATATACCAAAACAAAAACACTGCCTACATCCCAGTTCATTATCCACACTGAGATCATAGAAACCAGACTTACAACTGTCACAATTCACACCTTCTACATTCTCCTACAAACATATATTCACATAATCATATATTTCATTAGTTCTCCCAAAAAGTAATCAATCTTACTGCAAATTAAGCAAATCTTTATTTAGAAATAGAAATTAAAATGAATTACTTTAAGGCTTTATTTTGTAAAAAAAATAAAAGTAATTCAGAAATCGGGAGAGCTTTTCAGTGCAATAATTTTATGACGCTGACTTTGTTCGTTATTTTTTTCATTTATATCATACCCTTTTTTGGGGACGTAGACTTGCACTTTAAGTGATGCAAAAAGACTGCATTCTTGGGTTTCATGATCAGTAATCACACCAGTGTGGGTTGTGGAAATCAAAAGAACATCTCACAAAAAGTGATATTCAAACCAACAACCTCCAGATTAGGAGCCACATGATCTAACCTCACACAACTCTCTTTGAGCAGAAGAGATAATAATTTGTTTAATAGTGCTATCAATAGTATTCAATTTAAAATAATGTTTGAATTATAATCTGATTTCAAAGTCAGAAACCTCTATTGTAATACCAAACTCATATATAATAGTAAAACTAACCTTGCAGATGCACCTGCCCTCACACATATTGGGGTCAACTGTGCCTGCCATGCTACAAGAACATGGTTCACAATAGGGATAACTATGGTAACCAGGTGCACACTGGTCACAGTTTTGTCCTGCAAAACCTTCCTTACATATACATGAACCTGGCATCTGTAAATATGAAAATTGAAAAACAGTCATATTTTTTTAAAACTCGAATTGCCACTTGAAATCAGGCTAAGAAACATGACCATGTGCCTATTTTTGAATTATTTCTAATGAGAATAATATTTTTGTTGAAAATATACTAAAATATTTCACTCTAACTATAAATCTATCAAGAAAAATTCTAAGCTATAGAAAACTTGCTTTTACTTTAAACATTTCAATTACAAGATTCTCAATGAAATTTGTAAAAATAAAAATGACAATAGAATAAAAATATCACTCACAAGTCCCTCCTCTACCATACTGTCATCCACTACACATATACCCGTAGATCCGACAGATTCTTGACAGTTACACTGTCGACATGGCCTGTTAGCATTCTGCGACACACCCCATGGTCTAAAGTATCCCGGTAGACATTTCTCACAGTTAATACCAGTGGTATAATCCTGACATAAAACAAAACATTTAACATGCTATCATACTAACATATTACTGTATTAATAAAATAATCATGCAACAAGAGCTTGGGTAGGACAGCTTGCTCAACTTGATAGTAAACTAGAGCCTGGATAATGTAGAATTTTCTAAGTTCAAAAAGGGACATAATTCTGTTAAATTCTACATTAGAGTTATGGACCTTGGATAGTGACCTCCTATAATGCTCTCAAATATGTGTGTGAAGTTTCAACCAATTCCCTTTCGTAATTTTGGTGATACCAACTTGCAAGAAAAACTTGACCAAAGTGTGATGGCAATGCTGAAACTGCCTCCTGGGTAAGTACAATACCTCTCCCTATTCTTCAAATAGTCAAGGTCGAAATATTCAAACATTTCATTTAAGAATATCTTAATTCCAAATGTTCAATTTATGTGCATAAGAATGTTTTGATTATCATTAAATAGAAACAAAATGTTGAAATTAATTGAATTTCTTCCTTCATCTGATACTCATCATAATATAACAATATGCTATTACAATAAAATCAAATGATTTTGGCAGTAATTCATTACTAGCCACATATCTATATTTTTATATACTTCAGCTGGATAGCTTCATCACATGAAAGAATCAAAAGTCGTTGTCAGGATTCGAACCCATAGCAGTAACAGGCAAGTTGTTTGAAGTCATCAACCTTAACCACTCGGCTTCATGTATAAAGATGACTATTATTATATCCTTACATATATAACATTCACAAACCAGTAAAATCAACAACTTTGAACACATTTTTTTGTTATTCAACATGTATGATTTCATTTTGTAAGCAACAAAGAGTTACTTTTCTCAATGGTCAAAGACTGGCATAATTCACAACACCCGTTGCAACAACTTAGCATTTTTAATACAATGTATAGTTAACTAAGTACATGTTGGGGGGATGTACACTTGGAAGTTTAAGAATCACAACTACAGACATTATATTGCTCTGATACTAATCTTATAACAGTGTTGTTTTTTCTGGGCACTATATAAGTGGGTAAAGGTGCTGATATTGACTAGTTTATGTCTCCAGTTGATGTTCTCATCTTAACTTTAACTCTTAATCTGTCTACTGCTTATCTCTAACCAGTTATTAAATTCTCACCTTGAAGCTTTTATTGTCTTTTTATTTCCTGCAAACAGGCTCTTAATGTTTCTAAATGAAAATTAATGTAAGATAATGTTTAGACTGGCACTAATTGGGCAATATATCAAGGCAGGAAACCGGAGAAATCATGGTTTGTTCCAAACTACTCTTAGATACCTAGAACTTCCTGCTGATATTTTACACTTTTTTCATCATGTTCTTGAAAATTATCACCTGTACTGGCAAAATTTAATACCTTCATTTTAGAAGTTGATTCATCATCAATTAAATATGTACTTTATCAACTATAAATTATATGTTGCATACATATTATTTTTGATTCTTTAATTTGCCCATGTTAAGTACAGATCTGTACCAATGTAATCAAACTAAGATGCTACAATGTGCCTTTATCCTAGGTTTTTTTATTAGTATTTTATTTAATAAATGTAATTTTAGTATTACAATCAATTGTTCGTGAACTGCAACAGTCCTCATTATCATTTTGCACATTATCTATTGTATATTTCCTTAACTAATTTTATAATATATTTTCTTGTAAAGAAAACCCAGTGTAAACTTACAGTACAATCAATACAAACTCCACCACCTTTCATCTCTCCATTCATGTTCATACTCAAACCAAGTTCTGCTACTGAAGCATTATAAACACAGGAATCAGCGTGTCCGTGACAGTTACAGGCTGCAAACAAATATGTCATATTCCATTTTAATTAAACATTATCAAAACAGCATAATTTATTATAAACATTGCTAAGTTATTTTTTCACAATATAACGAATGCTTTTACATGGTTTTAATGGCTGATTAACTATAGTAAAGATATACAGTTATTTGACAAGGACAACAGTTTGAGCCTTGTTAGTTGGATATCTAAATTATCAAACTGTTTACCTTATGGACAACTCCATTAAGTTCTTACATCTCCATTTCTTTACAATTAATCAAAGACAAAATGAAAGTTAAATTGAGCTTAAAAAATTATTGCAATTGTGTTATTTTATACATGTTTGTGGACAATTAGAAGCAGGTAACATATCTACCATCAATAACCTAACACCATGTCAGAGATCAAAACTATCTTATATTTCCTACCTTCACACTCGACATCGAGGTTTATGACTCCATTGATACCGTTACCACCACCACGAACCCATGGTTTCTGATTAAACAGTGGACAACAAATCTCACAGTTACTTCCACATGTATTGTGCTGACACACACAGGCAAGTCTCTGAAGAAAATCATAATATGCTTATTGTAACACAAATTATTGTCATCAAAAACCGTTAACTATGTTGGGTTTTAAGTCATTTTGACATGGTTATAGAAATGTGACAACATTCCAGCTTAACGAGAAGTTGAAGACTTTAGAATGTCCTTCCACACAATAATTATCATCAATAGTTTCCTAATATAAACTGATCACAAATATTTGAACACATATTGATCAGTATATATAACAAGTGTTTCTGTCAATCAAATTGATCACTTTATTTTACTTTGATGGTTTTCTCAAATCTTTTTACTTAGCATAAAAAAAAGATGATACACAAAAAAATTACATAAATAAGCCAATGTAACTTGAAGCATGTAAAACATTCATTAATCAAGTCTTGTCTTGCAAATATTTCTTTACTTGCATTTATCATCGTAACAAAAAAATATAGGTTTTTATAACAAATTTACAGGCAAGATGAATTAATGTCTAATAAGTAAAATGTTTAGCTCCAAATGTCAACTAAAAAGAACACCTAAGGTTTTATATAAAAATTCTTGTATGACAGGCACAAAACATCACAATATATGTACTAGATATTTTTAGCTTAACCCTTGCTACAGTGGATTTCTGTAAAAGACGTGTTTCAGGGTTTGAGGTTGGAACTATCCATTGCTGTAAATGTCAAAAAAATTCAAAAACCACTGAGAAATTATGCCTCACCAGAAACCCCTGGATTACCAATCTAATGCTCTCCCTATTGAGCAAAGCAGCCGGTCACTGATCAGATGTTGTTTCATAGCAAAACTTTCAACAATGAGCAAAATCCTTAAACTGGTGATCTAAGCCTTTTAACACCTGTATATAGTCAGGGCAGCATGTCTGACCAGGCTCTATAAAGTTGGTGGCTCAAATTTTGTATTTTGATATTGAAATCCCTTAAACTTTTAATGCAAGAAAATGTCAAATGCAAGAAATATTCAAGTCCACAACACAAATTCAGCAGATTAAATAATAAAAACTTGATTACACTGGTGTCTTGCATCAATATAATTATACAAAGTCAGACAAAACGAAACATAAGTGCTATGTAACATGAAGCAATTTGTACAAGCTCTGTTTATAGGAAATTGCTCTGATAATCTGTACAAGCAAGTGCTGGCATTTCTGTAATAATGTAATAACTTTTGTCAAGCAAATCACCCTATCTGTAATATATGATAATTATACAAGATTCATCCTCTTCAACTATTTGCAAAAATGAATGAAATCAGAAAAGCAAAAGGTAGATTTCCTAAAGCCAAAGATTGATTGATTGAGGCCTTTAAGATTTATTGTGACTTTTTGTAGCTTTTTTTGCTGTTGCTTTTGTTGTTGTTGGGTTTTTTTTTTATGTTTTTCATTAATTAATTATTTTATTCACAATCATGCTTTATATACAATTAAGGTGCTATTATAACATTGAAAGAAGACCAATTTTATCTATGCATTTTAATCACAATATCTCATCTCTGATATCTCATCTCAGATATCTCATCAACCTTCTGTGTGGCTTTAGAAATATATCAATTCTTTCCTCTTTATTTTTGCTTTTCATAATAACATAATCTACCTATACAAACACCTGGCAATATTAAAATAAATTCTGTGTAAAGCTGGCAATTAAAACACAACATAGTTTTTTGTTTGTTTTTTTTTCTTTCTAAATAAAGCTATTTTTCCCTCTATGAAAATGAAGCAAAGTTTAATTTGTTCTTGCTATAGAATCTCCAATTTTCCATTACCAATGGTCGGTGTATACTGACTTACACAACTTTTACTTTGAAATGTTTAAACCTGTAGAAATTTTTTATATAATATCAGATATTAAATTTTGTAAAAATCCACAGTCCAGTGTCATATAACAGGGTATTAAATGTAGACTTTTCATCAGTTTCAAAGTGTCTAGTCAGTGAAAATTTTATCTACACAGCCTTAAATATATTGTTAACACTACTGTTTATTATATCCATCAAGTATACATCATAACATATGAAGCATGATGTACCGCTAAATTCTCATAAAATATTTCAAGTTTTTCAAACCATAGCTTTTACTATTTTTGTAACTTTATTTACTTTAGAGTTATTTCAATTACATTTATAGCAAAACATGCACACTTTACGTAATATTATATTCATTGTATGTTGGCTATTTGGGAAACAGAAACTAGATTATTTCAGTTATAAAAGAGAATATTTAACAACAAAAAAGAATTAAAGAGGCTGAAATTTAAAATGCCTTTTAATGTAAATAACATAAAAGCAAAACTTTTTGAAAGACTGAAAGTAGGGTTTAATTTTACACACCAATAAATAGCAATGGATGGAATCACTGCTAGGGATGTTATTAAACGGAAAACGAAAGCATGGAAAGCCCAAAAGTTATATAAATCATAAAAACATTGGTTATAACAAATGTGGTATAATAGACTTACATCAGTATCACCCTGTCTCTGACATTCTGATGCATGCCCATAGCATATACACTGACCTCCAATAGATATGTCCTTCACTGAATAGAAATACTGAAAAAATAAAAACATGCAAACATGAAGCTTTGTCATTTGATTTTATTGAAAAAAAAGAGTAAAAATGGCCTGTGATATTCCCACATTGCTTCTATACACTGTACAATATTATATTGTTATTCACTTTACCGTAATATGTTCTTGCTGCAACCATTTATCTTTTAACTTGTTACATGACTGCATTTTTTACACATAAAATTAACTGCACATCATTTTGTTGTCATACATTTAAAAGGGACTTCACTGAGGCTTTTTGACATGAAAAGGACCAGCAAATTTTTTTGCCAAGATTTCTTTACCATTTGATGTAGGTCTGAACCAATAAAACAAGTGTGCAGATATTAAGATCATTCCCTCACATAGTTTTTTCCAGAATTAATAATCATTTTATTGTGCAAAATGACCCAAAGATGAAAAGCATTGCAACCCTTTTTACTCAAATTGGGATAAGGTGTACACAAAAATTCAATATCCAATTTATTTTAGAGTACAATGTATATTTCTTTGTTATCCTTTGCATATGTTTCCATGTTAAGACCGTCACTTGATTTTTGTAACAATTTCAAATTTTATGTTTTTAGGCTTTTTGACCTCCGAGTGGGACTCTTAAAAACAAGATGTTTCTTAGAGAGAGAAAACTCCATTGGCTTTTACTAAAGAGAGAAATTTCATAGAGAGATGAAACTAGTTAAATATCTCTGACAGCATCATTAACTCACTCATTTACTTTCAGATTATAGGAGAAATTCATTTTTTTCTCACCCAGTTAACAGATACTGTATAACATTCTTAAATTTTTTTGCCAACTTGACATATATACCTTACATGATAAGGTATATAAATCACCTAGTCACTTTATGAGCATTTTTGTAAATAGTAAATATCCTCTGACATGACAGTATGGTAAAGATATAGTATGTCTGTTAACAACCTCTTGTTACATTAACCACACTAAGGCAATTTTTCTCTTCAAAAACTGTTCACATCTTGAAATATACTGCTATATCAAGTTCTAGTTTTATTAATTCAAATGAGTATCAAATGATAAAAAATGAATTGTGAATAAATCATCTTAACAGTATCACACGAGATTAAAATATGCTTGACTGTGGTACTAAAAACATTTTTGAAAGTACATGTTTATTGCCAACTTAGACGATATTAATTCAACTGGATTGCAGAGGTCAGCAGAATACAACTGTAAGAATGCTCATACTGAAAACAGTTTTAAATCAATTATTCTACCAATTAACATACAAACTCACAAAGGTGATATTTTACTTACTCTTCTAGTGACTGAGCGGTCAAGGTTACGGGGATCTCTGGACTGTAGACTCATCAGGTCAGCATTCAGAGTTCGAATCTTTTGAAAGCGTAACCTGACATACCGTGCTGAGGTAAAGTCCTGCAATAATAAAAGAAAAATTTTTAACATTGACTCTGCTGAATTTATGTTATGGGTTTACACCAATTTAGAAATAAGGATTATGACTATTTAAGGGTGATATTCAGCTATATTTGAAATGTGGTTAACTAGCCTTTGCCAACTGTGCAGTCTGACCAGGCTCTTTACTGCTGCTATCTATTTATTTTATATCAAAATCCCTTTAACTTTAAATGGACTGTTCCAAATTCAAAGTTGGGCAAATTAATAAAATACAAATCAAGTATGTTAAGGGTCAAGTCTATAATAAGTTGTAATGAATACGAAAATAACAATATTAAGTGGTTGTATTATTGACTGCTATCAATCATATCTTGTTTAGATAAGAAAGAATATATTATCTGAAACACAATAAGTTATAATAATAAATCTACCCCAATAAATCACACAATTTATATAACCATATTGATGACCATGACACAAAAATAGATCAAAGTGTAGAGGAAAAAACACCTTAAAATAAAACACATTTTTGCACTTGAATGACCAAAATAATCATTCACCAGAATATGACCCTTTTTTGCTCTTAAAGACCCCCAAAAATATGTGATGTGATATCCAGGCTTGAGATGAGTCTGCTTTTTATTGAAAGTGAGAATTTTTATGACAATTTACATCAACATGTGGTTACCTTGTGGTTTTCAAGCAATAAATAGTTATCTGCTAAACAGCCACTTCAAACCACAAGAGGCTGTGTGGTGAACCATTCATGAAAATCTCTATATGATAGAAGTTGGTAATTATAGTCCCTTTCATCAATATATATTCAATTGAAAACATCCTTTATTCGGTACAATTAAGGTTTAATAAGAATTAAGCAGTATATACTTCAAACAGATCATTTTATAGAAAATTCGTGAGCAAACTCTTGTGTTTTTCATTAAGGAAACTATGTAAAATATGCAATACTTAAAGTAATCAAACCCTTATAAACTTTATAATATAAACTTTTTAGTTTTAATAAACTTATCTAAAGTTAGTGGTTTATTACAGTTGTTAATGAAAACCACTATCTTATATACATTAACCAATTTAATTTCAAAAGTAAAACTTGTTTTACTTACAAGTAAAGTTTTACTTGGAACAAAAATTCCTGGTCTTCCATTAGTCAAAGAAATGAAAATCTGAAAAAAACACAAACAGCAATAATTACATGGTCCAAGAATATAATCTTTACTGGCAAATATGATAGAACTTGACATATCATTTCTAACGTTGTTTTTTTTTACACTTAGCCACTGTTTGTAATACAATGTACTTCTAATTTCAATTGCTTAAAAAACACTGTTATTTAAAAAAAATGATTCGAACCAACCACACTTGCCCTGATGGGGTCGTTCTATGAATAACTGAACATTAAAAGGTTAAATCAAAGAAAAAAGTCATTTTGGAATAGATACAGGTAACAATCATTATATAAGGATTATAATGATGTAATTTTGGACATTATTTCCTTCATGATATCATATTTGTTTATAAAACAGCTATACATGCATACATTTACCAATACATAAGCTGCACTAATTTATTGCACAAAATCAATGTCTTCTGCAAGGGTTTTCAAGTTGTACAACAGAGGCCTGTAAAAGTCTTCTCCTTATAGAAATTTTCTTTAAAATCATGCAGTTTTCCCAACCAAATCAGCAGATTTAGCGATAATTCTTTCCAGAATCAAAAGGCTATTAAAGGCTACTACCAAAAGAGAGAAACCCCCCTGCCTCAATTAAATATTAATAATAAGTATGTGTGCAAACCTTTTCCTCATTCTTAGCTATTTCACTTCAAAAAATAAAAAAGTAGATTACCTCTCCATTTTCGAGAGGGTTGAGCTTGGAGAAATATGATGTGCATCGTACTTCATCGTCCCGGAGGTAGTCATACGAGGGTTTTCCTTCTACTGCCGGAACATTGTAAATCCTCTGACAATCATAATCTGTGATCGCAAAATATTGCCATGGCTTGTAATTAACGCCATCTAAAGATTTCTCTAAAATCCAGTTACCAGGTCTTGGTGCATTCGCTGCCTTTACTACTACATAAGCTACTTGGTAGATCTGAAAAAAAAAAATTAGGACTTTCCTTGAATTTTTTTCTTTTGATATGGTTATATGAGTCATACACATGTATAAGAGCTAGAATTCTGTTTTTCGTATCGTGGGATTTGAACCCAGTACAGCAACAGGCAAATTACTTAACAATCTAAACCACTAAGTCATGGCTAGCTTCAAAGTGTGGTCTGTGATCATATTACAGATAAACTGTGAGTCTTCAACATTTGTTTATTTTAATAATTTGATAATGTTACAAAGCAGCCCGGCTGAATAATTGACACAATCTTAATGTTAAACAGGTGAGTCAATTTTATCATTTAATCATTTTTAAAGAAAAAAAAACAGATATTAATAAAAATGAATTCATTATTTCATAAAACTGTATTGTAAATAAAATCTCATTCAGATTCTATTATTTCTCAATAAATTTTATCACTCTATTAAATACATTAAGTGAAAAAAAAGTAAAGATTTATGAGGAATGACTCAAAGGTGAGACATCTCTAAAGGAAGTAAGTTGTTTCACACACTCATCATCATAAAAATGCATTTTCATTGTGAGTAATCAAGTAAGTTTTATATACTATTTGTTCCGCGCCCTCCAACAAATGGTTTGCACAGTGACTGGTTTTAAATCCATTTTTCGTTAAATATAAATATAAAAACATGTATCTTGTCTTCCATGTTTTTGTATTTGGGTTATGACGCGGTATATATTTTCTTCAAAATGTATACAATGTCTCGTACAATTATTTGCATTATAATTATTTGCTATTTCATGAAACTTAAACTGTATAGTAGGTGACTGTATTAAAAGTTGAAATAAAACAATTTTGCCATTATCTACCATGTTTAATATTATATTGCATATATTATATTTGGAAAAAGACCTTCTGTATTCTAATTCCTTACATCAAGGTTACTATATTCAATGTGCACAAAGAAAAAATTTAAGAAAGTGTCCTCTTCAACACCATCATAATAGATGAAAATCCTACTTGTCTTCTATTTCCCTCTTTTCATAACATCTGGTATTAAATAGTGAACAAGTTCAATAAGAGTAACATTAGCTTTCATTAGGCTCTCATCTGTATTTGGTTAACCTCAAAATCACATTGAAAAGTAAAATTCAAAATGTCCACCCATTTGTTCAATTACTGGATAAAACACTACTATTATAGTAATGTTGACTTCTATAATTATTGTGAAAGCCCATTAAGATGGACAAACTGCCAGTGTAATGATTCTTTTACAATGGAAGCCTCGATGTCACTGTCCCCGTCATAGACATCTTTTTTTTATAGAAGCCCCTTAAGTTTATGTGACAAGTCTAAATTTTGCACTAGTACTTCATAAACTTTCTCAAAATGAATCACTTACTGGAGAGATATTCCATAAAGAAATTGTTATTATTTCTAATTTTAGCAGAAAACGATGGCATAAAAAACATGTTTAATGAAGATTGTGTTTCATCTAAAGATGCAGTATCACATTTAAATCACCTTATACAAATTGTAATGAAAGAACTGTTTTTCTTTCTACATTATAATTATTATTGTTTGGTTGCGGAAATTGAATCAAATGGGACTTTCAACAAGAACTTTAGATTTTCATGCGTGGAATAATCCAACTAGCTTTATGAGTTTGGGTTTGTTTACTTGGGTGAGAGCATTTGACTTAAATAATGTCCAGACACAGTTTCCTTTTCATAATCTTGAAAGTGCAAGAGAGACTTTAAATTAACACAACAAACAAACAAAATCTTTGAGATTCTTTATACACCTCATAGAAAAGAAGCTTATATTGAAAGTATTCTTTGGCCAAGTAAACATAAAATCTCATCAAATAACTACAATCCAAGCCTACTTGAAATTATAATCAACTTCATCGCCTCCACTCAACACAAAAATTAAACCATGTTGAACTAAAGTTAATAGAAATATTTTCATGACAATAACATCTTTAACTATTTAATTAACTAAGCCTTGACCACAAATAGACAAGTGGGTGGGGGTTGAGGGGATTATTCAAATTTTCAGTTTGCTTCTTGGTTACTGTTGACAGCAAATCCTTTTGATAAAATCACTGTGGATGAATCTAATCATCTGTTTGTAAAGGGCTTTCAGTTTGATAAATCATCTGACCATGTCCGTAATGGACTGTTTAAGTACTTTGATCATTTTCAGTCAATTTAAGCTGCGGTATTCACTACATGTGGTCAAACACAATAACCTATGAAGACAAAAAAATGATATAGGGCTACTTAAAATTCCGATAATCATCAGAAATCACACCCTATTTTACTCCAAAAGTAATTTTGGCAGATAAATATCTCAAAATAGAGTTCACAAAATGAACATAATTGCCTATTTGTAATGCAATACTGATTTTATATGTTCTGTTTTAATAGAATATTTAGATGATCAATGATAAAAAAATAATTTAGCTGTAATGAGTTTCATCGTCACAGTTTTGACAAAAATTACCAAAAAATATGAAAGGTGTAAGCTGTTCACAACTGTTCTAGCCAGTTTGTTTTATTTTACATGTATAACTTCCTTTCAAAGAAATAGACAATTTATTTAAATATAAATGCAAGTATTCTAAGGACCAACATCATCTTTTAAGAAAGAAATGTTTCAATGAACCAACAAGGGTTAACACGTCAGACTAGAAATCTAAGGCTTGCTGGCCCCATGGGTTCAAACCCTGTCAGGGGCAAGCTGTTGTTTCCTTGAGCAAGAAACAAAATTAATTGCTTAGTACTGGTTCCAGATTTACAGATTTGACAGTGTTTCAATAAGCTTAATATAGCTTCCAACACAATCAAACTGAAATAAATTTGTAAAAACTAAACTAATCCCCTAATTTTTTTAGCAAGTATTAAATTAAAACCAATAGCTTTACAGAATATTTTATTATAAACTGGCCCACAAAAATATTGTAAAGCTATATGTCAAAATAAACAATGGCCATGGTCAGGTGTCAGTTAACTCTTGGATTGTAGGAGTCTGACCCAAAACATCTCTGCAAGGGTAGACAACATTATAACTTGAATTTGATCATTTTATACTCCAAAACCAAAATTTAATTTTCCACTTCAATCTTACACAGCAAAGTTAATAGGTTGGTTTAAATTCATTTACATAAAGTATTTGTGAAAATATATAAATATTCATGTTTTATTGGGACAATGACCCAGTTCCTTTTATCTTTTATGACAGTTATAAATCAAGTGAAAAGTACCTGATCCTTACAAAGTACAAGGGTATTGACAAATATTTTATCTTTTTCATGAAACTTTGGGCCACACACATTCAAGCCAATTTCTATACCATATGCTATGCTTACAAGCCAGTGAACAATAACTTGTTAAAGTAGTAGTTTAAAGTGAATGGCGTTGCACATGTCAAATTAAAACAATTAACAGATAAAAACACATCAGCTTAGGTAAAACAGTGCATCAACTGGCATATGGACAGCAAGTTCATATAATTGGTGAAAATATTGCACAAATCCATGTCTCCAAGATGTCTAATGTCAAAATAATATGGAAAGACAGACTTATTAAGGCCTTAAGGTGTCATTGTCAGCCTTGCATTCCAAGGATTATCACGGTTATACTTTTGTTTATATGTTTAAATTTCTTCCAGGTTTAACAATTTGAGAGGTCTGACTTACAAACTTACTATTATAGCCCAAATGCAGTAAAGTTTTAGTTCAAATTAATCATTTCTATGTTCTTGCCTGTTCTTTTTGCATTTCCTCTAACATCGAACCAGATGGTTCATGTAGTAAGAAAAAAAAATAGAAATAACATGACATTATTTCATATTGGCACAAGATAGACGGTTTGTTTGTTAATATGATTTTTCAGGTCTCAACTGATTATATCATTTTACACACGAGACATGGTAGTAATTGTCTATATAAACAAAGTCTGGGACCATTTCCAATCTTACATAAGCTGTTTTATTATCTACGTTAGTTCTGTGACTAATTGTTTATAATTATGACTAAGGCATACCCCTGCACTGCAACCTTGTGAACGTTTTACAAGCAAGCAGGTGTCATTGTAATTAGTAAATCACCTGTCAATCATTTATCTTATTGATGTATAGATCATAGATAATAAATTATGACACCTTTGTTTCCTCTGTACAGGAGATCTTTATCCTCATTAGGGTAATTAGCTTTCTATAAAAGTTTTGCAAACTTTGTATTGATTCTAAACAATTAAAGGTCACTCCAAATTTACAATAAGTTTGAGGCCTATTACTAAAGTAGTAAATTTGTAGTTAAAAAGATCCTTGGCACATATAGTAACTGTAATTCTATATACTACAGTAATGACCTGGAACCAGGTGGTTGTCATAAATTACTCCAATTTTTTCTTCAACAGAAAGAGTTCATTATAAACTAATTCAAACATTTTCACTTGACAAACAGTAAATAAAAAAAATTTCTATAATATATTTTAAAATCTTTAATACTGTATGTATATCTCAAGGAAATGATGTTATTTTAGATTATGTAACACATGGTGCAAATTACAGAGGTTATCATTTTTCTTAAACATCAGTATCTGTTTAGCATTTTCTACAGACCATTTTTAACCCTTTGGTTTGAACCTGTTTCCTGGCTTATTTAACCGATTTACAATTTCCTATGACACCTACAAGCGATGTTCATGAATGAAACTCATCCTCATTAGCTTATTTCCCACACATGTCACATTTTGTACCCAATTAAAGTTCATGATCTGTAACACTTCCAGACATACAACAATTACAAGATAATCATGAAACGACACCAGTGTTTGTTTTTCCTCTTCTTTTGATATCTCTATAAACACAGGGCCAGACTGTGTTGCATAACATAGTAAAGTAAAATAAACAAGAATACCGTTAATGCTGTGACACATTAAGAACAAGTTACGATAAATTAAATTTCTTCTTATTGCAGCTAATTGCGATGAGAATAAGTTGTCACACAAGAAACAA